TAGTCTACTAGCTTAAAAATTAGGTATTAATAGCTAATGTTTCTACTGTAAAAACTTCTAGAACCTAAAACTGATTTTAAATGCTAATTTAAATCTGGGACTTCTTTTCCGAATACAACATCCAGTATAATATTGCAAGTTCTCCTTTAAATTTCCTCTGTTTTAGTCCTTGCGCATATATCATATACGTCAGCATTAAACTGACCAGCCTTGTTTTGTAGTACCATTGACTCAATGGTAAGTACTGTCGCAACGCTTTCACAACAATAACGAAGACCCAACGGCATTCACTTAACCAACGCCATTATGGAACTTTACGTTAATTAAAAACGTAATCACTATCATCAAACCTCAAGCCTTCATCACTTCTATCTCTTTATCGCCCGCGGGTCAACTCCCATTTGGCGGGAAACTTAAGAGCCGGGGTATCCATTTCCCGCGTCGCCGCGAGCCCAGCAATATACACAGAGTATGACGCGCCATAGAGTGTGTTACTTACATGTAAGCGGATATCTACTCACTACTCTGTGTTAACAAGGGACATTCATACAGCTGTTGTCTCTCGCACTCGCAGCTTGTTAGCACGGTGATGTATTGGCGGGATTTGTCATCGAGGTGTGTAATAGAATTGCAGCTGTGTTTTCCAAGGATTCGGTCAAGTGCTTAGAGTTGATTCGTTTGTTTTTGCAGGCTCAGAAAGTAGAAAGTTTGGGGGATCCACACATCTTTTAGTTAACCTTTGCTATCACTAAGTAGGTGGTTTCATAAACGCATAGAATTTTAATTGATTGAAAAACATAACTTCATCAATTTTCCTTGGAAGACCTCTTTTTGAGAGTATCTACTAAGTTTTGATCTTGTAAAGTAATTAGTTAAGTCCTTGCAAAGTAATTTGAGAAGCCGTTTAAAATAAATTGTTTTAAACTTAATGTTTTTTACAATCGTAGCTTAATTTTTTAGCATGGCACGATTCAAATGAATTCTTCAATATCTTTGGGACGAAGTGTTAATTATGTGGTTACTTATTCAATTTGGTTAAAACTATACTTTTTTAATCTGACGTAACATGTAACAACAGAACAATTAATTGTATTCATCCGGCTCGTAGGACCATAAATAGTTAACAAAATGTGATCATTAGAAAGGAATCTGAATAAGATAGGACATAAATAGTCAGTGGATGGATCGAAAAGAATAATTTGAAGACAGATTTGGAGGGTTGATCAAAAGGGGTAAATACACTGCTACAGAAATGTCACCAAAAGCGCCAAGGCGGAAATAATAGAGTAAATATGGCTTCGAGTAAAGAGCAGTATTTAACTTAGTTTTTTAATCGTTCAATCTCTCCACAATAGCGGGGTTTCCTTTTAAAATCCTTCATATCCTCAAAGAGGAATCCTTATACACAAATAAACGTGCTTACTTAAGATTCTCCGGTAAATATGCATTTTAGGGTTTGCACGCGATTTTTGAAATTTTTTTTTTCATTCTACTCGAAATTTAACGCTGATTCCGAAAATGGTGTTCTTTTTCCGCGGAAAACGACCATAACGCGGAAAAACGACCAAAACGACAAAAAAAACTTTTTTTACCAAAACACGTCATGTGGGTACTCAAATTAACCGTAATATTAAGCAGATCACGACTATGCAAGAATTTTTTGGATCCGAGGTCAAATAAGCGAGATTTTCACGTAAATATGCGATAATATTTTGGATTTTTGCTCCAACTTTTGTCTGTGTTAAAATACCAGCTGATCAGGATCAGCTGGTCATTATTTTATTATAATTGTTCATGTTTTAATTTAACAGGTAAAAGGGATGATACTAAGCATAACCTAACTTAACCTAACCTAAAATAACCTAACCAATCTAACCTAACTAACCAACCTAACCTAACCAGCCTAACCTAACCAACCTAACCTAACCTAACCTAACCAACCTAACCTAACCAAACCAAACTAACCAAACTAACCTAGCCAACCTAACCTAACCAACCTAACCAACCCAACCTATTCTAACCTACCCAACCTAACCTAACCTACCCTACCCTAACCTAACCAACCTTACCCAACCAACCTAACCTAACCTAACCAACCTAACCTAACCAAACTAACATAAACAACCTAACCAACCTAAACTGACCAACCTAACCTAACCAACCTAACCTAACCTAACCAACCTAACCTAACCAAACTAACCTAACCAACCCAACCTGACCAACCCAACATAACCTAACCAACCTAACCTAACCTACCCTACCCTAACCTAACCTAACCAACCTTAACCAACCAACCTTACCTAACCTAACCAACCTAACCAAACTAACCTAAACAACCTAACCATTCTAACCTAACCAACCTAACCTAACCAACCTAACCAACCTAACCTAACCAACCTAACCTAACCAAACTAACATAAACAACCTAACCAACCTAACCTAACCAACCTAACCTAACCTAACCAACCTAACGTAACCAAACTAACCTAACCAACCCAACCTAACCTAACCAACCCAACCTAACCAACCCAACCTAACCTAACCAACCTAACCTAACCTACCCTAACCAACCTTAACCAACCAACCTAACCTAACCTAACCAACCTAACCAAACTAACCTAAACAACCTAACCATCCTAACCTAACCTAACCTAACCTAACCAACCTAACCTAACCTAACCAACCTAACCTAACCTAACCTAAAAACCCCGAATTCCCACCTGTCCCCTAGTGAGTTGGAGTTATTGCTGATAGTATCACGTTTTCGTGAAAATCTAGGTTGGTTAGTTAGGTTAGATTGGTTAGGTTATTTTAGGTTAGGGTAGGTTAGGAGTTAGGTTATGCTTAGTATCATCCCTTTTACCTGTTAAATTAAAACATAAACAATTATAATAAAATAATGACCAGCTGATCCTGATCAGCTGGTATTTTAACACAGACAAAAGTTGGAGCAAAAATCCAAAATATTATCGCATATTTACGTGAAAATCTCGCTTATTTGACCTCGGATCCAAAAAATTCTTGCATAGTCGTGATCTGCTTAATATTCCGGTTAATTTGAGTACCCACATGACGTGTTTTGGTAAAAAAATTATTTTGGTCGTTTTGGTCGTTTTTCCGCGTTATGGTCGTTTTCCGCGGAAAAAGAACGTCATTTTCGGAATCAGCGTTAAATTTCTAGTAGAATGAAAAAAGAAATTTCAAAAATCGCGTGCAAACCCTAAATTGCATATTAACCGATTCTCCAAGAAACATATTTGAAAGAACATATTTTGAAACCCATAGAAACTTGTTACATACCTCCTCAGTCTTAACTCCCATGTAATAGCTCTTGGTCCTGCTCTCTCAGACCACTTATACTTATCCCACTCACAACTATCTTTCACTCTCATTCTCTTTGTAATGCGCGCTATCTCCCTCTTTTCCATTCTCCCTTCTTGTTGTAATCGTTCAATCTACCAGACACATTTTGTCCACGAGTGGTCACTAGATAGAGTGATTTGTTTATTTCAAGTTCCCCATCAAACAAGTGGTTAATGTCGTGCTTGAGAAGTGATTCGTGGTGAGGGCGATTGTCCAACCATGTATTATTTGAAATATGTACGTTCACATGGCCTATGTCAATTAAATAAAATATCAAGAAAAATCTTAAGAATTGTTTCCAGAAAAAGTGACTCTGTGTTAAAGCAAATGTATTTTTTCAACCCAAGTTTTCACTGTTTCGTCGGCGTTTTGCAGTACTTCTATCCTCCCAAGTAATCTTCGCAAAAGGGCAATCGTTCACTCTATTCGCTCGTTGTGTCCGCCCAAATTCAAATGTGACAGTCCCATTGTATTATCAACTAAGATGGGTACATCACCTACGTGCATATTTTAACCCAAATATGAATGAAGGATGAGTGTAGAATAGAGTAAGATGACTTGTGAAGCTTTGTTACTGACTAATGCCAGCTGTTTAATTAGACAGGACCACATTAAAACCTCAATGATCAAGGACAGCTGGGTCCATTTTCGAACCTTCAAAAAAGCCAATAACTTTTTTCTGGTTCGTACCGGTGGCCTTTGATTACTAGGCGAGCACTTTAACCGATCAGTGCGCCCAACTATGACCGAGTCGGGACAGTCCCAGTTTAACACCTAATAACCGATCTTTGCTTACCATTAATGTTCTAAAACTAACTCACCACTCACCACTCACAAATTCACACTTTCCCGGATCCTAGTGGATATACAAGATTCCAATTGAGCCCTATCGTTTTAACTCATACCTTTCTTCCATTCGAATTAACATTTTTTGTTAGAAGTCTTAATATTTTCATCGCATTATCACCTAAGCAGTTCAAAGTAACAAGCTCCTACTCCCTACTATTCCTGCAATCACCCTTATCAAAAGTAGCTGCAGCAGGCGCCAGTGTCGTTGACTTTAAGTGCGTCGCCCCATTGCATTCCTTTGACTACGAGCGTCCATTTGAGACTATTTACATTCTCAGTGAATACACATCTGTGATTAGTTTTAACTTTGCATCCAAATGAAATTTGATGCAAAAATATTTCATTAGACGACTAGGAATTTTATATTTCAACCTAATTAGCAAAAGTGCCTCCTTGTTTAGAAGAGACTTGGTGTTGATTGCGGCGGGAATCAGATGTGCCAGTGGAAAGTGTTTTTATGTTTTCGATAGACAGAACAGAGATGTCTTATCTAGAGTTGAATATACTAGCAAACCTTCTTGGTTACACATTTTCAAATCCCGTAAACTTGTAAATGCCCCTTCACGCCTTTAGCAAAAACTCTTTCAAAATCGATCCGGAACCTTACATTGCCTTACTTATCCTTGGCCAGTAATGGGGTCTCCTTCCACCCGGATATCCCTGATAATCTATCTTGATGTAATTATTTTTCTTTTCTCTACACAACGTACTCGCAATGATCAGGATCACTGCAAACAATTTAAGGGAACATTGGTATTTTTAATTAAACATTTATATGTTTGTTACAGGATGGGAAGCGATTGTTCATCGGAGGAGTCGGCAGTTGGTACTGGCAGGGTGAGTGTTTTACATCAAACTAACACTGTTTCTGTGGATGTGCAAGAGCAGAATATACGTGTAGCTTGAAATGCATTTTCGAACACATAGTTTGGGAGCACTTGTCATTCTATTAGTATTTACGTGCTCTTCACTAATCCTAAAGTTTCACAGTTTATTTGTTGTATTCAATATTTCTATTATGATTTTTACACGTAGTAAAACTATGAAAGGATTCCCAATTTTTAATGAGAAAAAATACAAAATTTTTTTAGAGTTTTTATAGTTTGCAAGGTATTTACCCCCTTACAAGTTCCCAACACATGGTATCAAAATCCCTGATACAGAAAAAATACAAAGAACAAATGTTGACAAATTTTAATACCAGTAAAAAGAGAGCGGGGCCAAGGAAGTAGCATGCCTAGCATACCGAACAGACGACATGTTTATGCATACGGCTCCTCTATAGACGCCGACCCGTATAAATCTGATACAAAAGACAAATTTAAAAGTCGGTCAAACGACAATAGACCGGACTACCTTAAAAAGAGCAGTCGGACGCGCTATGGTACCGGCGCACTTACGTTCTCGGCGATTGAATTTTCCGTTTGATGAATAATTTATAAGTGGCTCCAGTCGCGTTTCGAACACCCGCCTCTAGGTTTAACTGTTATCGTTTCGTTTTTTGCCCAATATCCCAAGTCGTTTCCGCTTCGCTCGTTTTTTTTTTATGTTTTCAACTCTGGTGCCTTATGGAAATTGGTCGGTAGTTTTTCAATTCGGTTTTCGATCCGTGTTGTTCCAATGTATTATTTTGGGTCCCTCCGCGCAGGTTGAAACGGTTATAATTTAATTTAGTTGTTTTATGTTTTTTTGTTTGTTAATGTGTTTCGAAGATGTACCAGAATCATCTACCGGTACTTATTTTAAAAATGTATCATACTATAATTCTCAACATTATATTCTTCAAATTTCAAATCTTTAAGATCTGCGAAATTCTAATTGTATATGTAAAAACTGGTAAGGTAACAATTATTGTTATCATTCTTATCTGGTGTGTTTGTGTACGGTGGTTTTTGCATTCGTGGTTTTAACTAAAACTATTTGGAATATTTTCCGCTGAAAATTACAAATGAAATAGGTAGTTAATAGTAGTATATCATGGGCTATATAAATTTCACCTGATTACAATGAACAATTTCTAGGGAGGTAAAATGGGTTTCAAATCGTCAAATCGGGAATTACGTGTGGTTCATATCCCAAATTTGCGATAAATCGGGATATCTCCGGCAACTAAAGGATATTCGTGTGCTCGGCGGCTTGTCGTCGACCCGGGGTCAGATGCAAACTTGTTTTGTGAAATATTGCATTTGACATTAAACATGTCTGCAAGGAGACCCTCACTAATGAACGTAGATGAGGGAATCCTGAATAATGGCGTTGGATTGTACAGCCAAGAGATTGCAGTTTCGCGTTCTAATTGGAAAAGAAATATCGGATATGCCAGCAGGTCGTAAAAAGGTCTCGATTGGAAGTAGATATGTAAGAGTTTAAATTTAATTTAATTTTGACAGATTTCTTTGACAATTTTTAAGCACAAGAATGTCTCCGGTGAAAATTTCAAAGAAAGCGTGTTCAAATAAAAGTTCTTCTAGTCAATGTTTGTTGTTACGACTGTTCTTTGCACAACATATATTAGGTCCCAAAGTATTGGCCATACAAAAGTAAACGTTATTAGTAGCAAACATTTAATGTAGGGCTACTTTATTTTCATTACCATGTTTACACAACAAACGGTTATTTGTAAGGATATGCCTACCATTTTTTTCCATTCCAGAATCAAAAGTTATTAGTTTTGGGGTTTAAACTATGTTCGACAATGGTGCAATATCTAGCTATGAAATTTGATATGATTGAACACAATTGCAGAAAATCGTTTTCTTAAAATTAATATTTATACACATAGAAAACCCTTTTAAGCTTGACAAGTAATTCTTCACAGTCTTACGATTTAAACACATTACAGTAATTTATAATTCACAATTTTTAAGTCACAATCATGTTTGTTTATACTTACATTATTCACTATAATAGCCAATGATTTGGAAAGAAGTAGGACCATGTGTATAAAATGAAACGTTTAAACACAATAATTTACTAATTGTGTGTACATCTTGGTCTTCCACTTCCTCGTGTTGCTAAGTGTTTTCTTTTGAAAGCCAGTTTTACCATAAGGCAAAATGTTGTAATTTTCAACACAACACTAATCCTGCATATTTTAGCACTTGTCAATTTTAGCATGAATCACTGTTACCAGTACATGAATGTTCTATGTTATATGTGTGTATTTAATGTGTTTTGACTGTGTATGTAATTATAATGTTAATTTATTCAGCATGTGTTATATACTTGCACTTCAAGTGTTATATTTTTACCTGTACACACTTTTGTATTTTCTTCTTTCAGCTTTTGGGGTTACTCGGTTTTTGGGGACCGATTTCTGCTTTTGGTTTAAAATGGATGCAGCACTATTCTTGATCTCTCAGTAAGATTGAGGGTTTTACGTTTTCGGGAAGAAGGTTTTGGTGTGGGATAATATTATCGTTATTTTTTTACATTGAATCCACAAAAATATGTCATACCATTTAACTTTTGTGAATTTGTTTCAAAAGTTGAAAAACATTACTAGCAATTAATTCCACTAAAATCAACTTGGTTTTATTAGCCAAATTACTATAGGTACTGTTGAAATAAAATCATGTATTAAATAAATAATCATTATAAAACACAAATATAGTGTTTATAAAATTAACTAAACATTAAAACTATATTGAATGCGTGTTAAAAATGAAATGCTGTACTTAAATTCTGATGGAAAAATAACTGTCAGAAATCAAAGACAATATAAAAAAATTTTTCAGTAGGCTACGTTGAATCTTTCTTAGTTTCTTGGTTAAAAAAAATTCTTACATTAAACTTATTTATTATTATTATTATTATTTTTATTCACTGTGAACTCTTTGAGTGGAATACAAAAATTCTAAACCTAAATACAATTTTTTTAAAGAGAAATTTCATTGTCACTAAGGCCTCCGTCTTGGAATGGATATACTATTCCGTGTTGTCTGACTTCAGTGGCGGGTTCATTCCCCGCCATGTTCACAGCAATTTGAGGGATTTGGTCCGCTTTCACAAAAGCGCCATCTCAAAAATCCCACTGGCTCTAGATAAATAAAACCCTTAACCGACACTACCCCTGACATTAGCCAACTCAGTCCAAAGAGAAGAATCAAAAAGCGACGTCGACTTACCATAAGGAAGAATTCCAATGTAAAAATCAGTGCTGCGTCACCATAAAAAGCTACAGAATGAGTTGGAGTGCCTAAAATGGTTGGGATGATGTGTTTTTCAGGTCAAGTCCATTCTTGCGATGCTTACGCCAGACTTCCCCGTCCATTGCCGCCCCGCTACGCCATAATGAACGAGGAAGGTAACGAAAAACACCCCAGAAGGTGCTTACATGCTTGTCAAACCCCGACACATTAACAACATTTAACTTGATTAATATGATAAACAAGTGACACTTTTGAAATTGAACAAAATTTTTAGAAGTATTTTTTAGTGGTTTTGGTTTCTTAGAGTTTTGCTGTTTTTTCTACTTGAATTGAGTTTGTAATGGAACAATAATGTTCAATTCATTTTGTACACAGTTTATAACGTATGAAAGAAAATGTGTTTACATCTCAAATGTAAAGAAAAAATGTTTTTGCTTAAACAAAATTACTTTTTTATTAGTTAAGCACAATGTACGTAGACATTTTTGTAAGTAGTTTCTTCTTATTCCCATTTTGGTCTCGGAATCCAAAATTAAATGCTTGAAAATATTTATAGGGACATGAGAATAAAATAGACTAATGCTACACAAATTTAAACCTTCTAAATAACTTACAACATAACATTACAGTTTAACAACATTAAAACAAAAATAATACCAACATTAACGTATGCTTTAAGAAATAGGTGAAAAACAGAAAGATTTGCTTTGCTACAAAATCGCAGACAAGTCAATGCTGGTACAACACAGAACAACAATTTGTTATTCTGTAGTTCAACAAACAAATCATTCCTCTCATTTGTGTGTATTCCACATGTTTCAGTGTTTTCATTTATAATGTTTTAATGTGGTTTGATGAGTTACTTGGCCTTTTACAGTGGATTTTATGATGAATTTGTTTTTTCACAAAGTTCTAATACCATGTTTTTTCAGCTTCCGGGTGGGGGATGTTTTCAAGTTTGGGGGATTTTCCTTTTCTTGATTTCACTTTTGCATGTGTTTCCTCTGCATGTGTTGCACAAAAGAATTTGTATGATAGTATATTACAAAAAATCTATTTCTTGAGAATGATCTGTATTTAATAATTAAAGAGTTGGCATTTAGTTCCGTTTTTGACGATTTGTCTGAATTTGAGGCTTTTTCAGTAGTTTATTTACTAAAATGTATGTGGTGGTCTACACCAATATCATGGATCTCATCAAGCTGTATCATACAATGTAAATATATTATTATGATATTGTAAACTGATGTGTATATAGTCCGATTACTTCATTTTATTTGATTTGATACAAAAGAAAATGTCATCTAGTTTTGAGTTTTAGACCAACTTTGGAAGTATATTCTTAATTTTCAATCAATCTACAGAATTTAAAATTCTAATTTTTAAAATCAGTTTTGGAAAAAAGGAATGATGTTGTCCAGAAGTCCAATTATGGAAAAAGTACTTCTTAAGAAAATCATAACGAGAATTTACCATCTAACTAAACCTTTTTTCTACAGTACCGGTACCGGTATTTGATAAAAAATCTCATAATCCAGGAATATATTCTCCACCTCTGTAATATTGTTCATTGTTAATTTTATTGAGCAACTGATGCACACCTGTTGGCAATGGTGCACTTCTTACATGAATGTGAACCATTATGTCTGTGTGGATAGAACAGATACCTTGTGCAGTTTTGTGAATGACTTTAGATGGACTTGTTAATGTGAAACAAAATAGACCAAAAACTATAGAGAAAACAATCAAAAAAGCTATAGAAAATATTTGGGTTGATCGTTTTCAAAGATCAATGAGTTTTCAAGATGACAGCTGCAAATTTCCTTTGTTTAATGTCTGTTGAACAATATCTGGTTCCATGTTAAAGTACCACGAGTAGAAGCCAAGGAATTCTTGTAGGTCATTCCATGTAGCTGCTGCAGATAAATATAACAGCATTTATGAACAGTACCTTACCGTACGTTTCAGTTTATATTATTTAAACATAGGGGCTCTTGTAGGATAACATTCCAGTTTTTGTTTGTTGTAGACTCTCAGTAAGAGTTTTGAAAGAAAACTGTGTTTGCAGGACAAATTTTCTCACAAAACCTCTACTCAAGGCCTGACGTCATCTCTAGCAACGAGGGACCAGCGGCAGACGATGACTCTTACCTCGGATACTCTGTAGCCTCGGGAGACTTCAGTGGCGGGGGAGCGGGGCAGAATGATGTTGCTGTGGGGATGCCCAGGGGAGCGGGTCTACTTGGCAAGGTGAGGTGGTAATTAATTATTAATTTTATTGGTAATTTAAACTTAAGTGTAAATTGAGGATGATAAAGGTAGCACATGTGTAAGACTTATAAATAGAACTATGCACCATCCTGCCTTCACCTGCAGGACAGGTCTATGGGAGATAGTCACAGGGATATGAGGAATAGTTGTGAACTATCAAAATTACTGGAAAGTGGAAATAAAAAAATGATTTATTTTCTAACTTTGCCTCTTTGATTTGGATTTTGACTTGGGAATCGGTCAAATTAGTATGGTAAAACGATGTTTCACCAAAGTTCTTCTCTCACAGATTGTTCTGTACACATGGAACTTGACCAACATGCAGAACATAACCGGTGAACAGCTCGGAGCGTACTTCGGCTACTCTCTGGCCTCAGTGGATATGGACGGAGATAAACTGGACGACCTGGTCATCGGAGCTCCGTTGTACACAGACCTCAGCAACAACGAGGGTGATTACGAGACCGGTAGAATCTACGTTGTCTACCAGGGGCAGGGGGTAAGAGCAATAATTAATTAACTTACATTTTTGTCCGATTTACTAAGTTTGATGAAAACACTGACTTATGCATATTTACAGGAATGGTGTTTATGTTTATGATTACAAAATTGGGGATATTTTTATACAGTAATACAGTAAAGTCCACAAATTTGGTGTAATACTGTAATGTGGACCAAAGTTTTGAGAAATGTTAAGTCAATGGGTAAAAGTTTAAAACTGAGTCGTAATAGTACATTTTTTCTTTCTCAGAAAATTAAGATGTTTCCACATAAAATTTAAAATTTAACTCATTGAGATGTCAATTTGTTTGATTCAGGAACAAAAGTTTCGCTCGATGAATACAAGAGATGGTGTCAACTCTAAAGCAAGATTTGGTCTAGCACTGGCTTCTCTTGGGGATATCAACAAAGATGGTTATGGAGGTAAGTTAAAGTTTGATGTTTCCTTAAACATACTGTATATACAATTTAATTTTTAGTAGTTAGTAAGTAGGGCTCAATTTGGGGGGAGGTTTAGTGGTAAATCATTTGGGATATGTGTTATTTTTGATTTTATTAGTGAAACATATATTCATCTCCATCTTAAATAATAACAACATTTAACATTCCAAACCCCTAATTTTCACTGTTTATTGTTCAAAAATAGCGTTTGGAATGTGTGTTCCACTCCGTCTTAAATAATGACAAACTTCAAATTTCAAACCAACAACTTCAACTGGTTGTTGTGCAAACTTGATATACAATGCTTTCTACTCATCTTCTTTTTACTTGATGTTTGTCCTAGTCTCCTAGTCAATGGTTGTATTCTAAGCCATCAACTTACCCTGATTATTGTGCAGACATTGCGGTCGGAGCCCCCTATGACGGGCCGCAGGAGCGTGGCGCAGTATACATCTATCATGGATCGGCCACGGGGATACGAGAGAAGCCGTCACAGGTTATTCAAACATCAGATCTTGGTCTGCCTCTCACCACCTTTGGCTTTTCACTGTCTGGAGGCGTAGACATGGATGAGAACCAATACCCGGACCTCATTGTGGGGGCTTACGAGTCCGACACGGCGGTGTTCCTTAAGTGAGTGTTGTGTTGATTGTGATAGCCTAACAATAAAAAAAACCAATATTTACTTTTTCTGGGGATCAAGGCATAATTACTGTACTGTAATCCTTAATAAATGCAAAAAGTTGGGGTATGACTTGAAAAATGTGGCTAGGAAAAAGTTAGAGTAAAATATCATTTTTACAAATAATAACATGAGATTGTTTGTATTATATGCAACTGATTTTATTTCAAACCTTGATGGCTCATAGTACTGGTGAAAATACTGACCAAACTGATCTGTGTAGCTTACCCCAAGATGGATTGCTGTAAAGCATCCAAGTATTTTTGTAATGACGCAATTTTAACGTCCCGAAGATCAAAATGTATCAACATTTTAATTCAATTTAATTTTTAAAAATCTTTATCCAATTTAAACATCCTGCTTAACTTAAAATCTTTACGTACATATCATTTTACAATTTTATTACTGGCAAAGTCTTTTCGCTGTTTATTCTGATGTTCACCTGTGTTCTTAGGGCTCGTCCAGTGGTGAAGATGATGTCTTCGGTATCATTCCTGTCGGAACAGAAACAGGTTGTGCTGGAGGAGACCAATTGTACACTCAAGGATGGGACTAGAGTAGCCTGCCTGTCTCTCAAGATGTGCCTAGAGTACAGTGGATTAGGAGTGGACCAGCGATTAGGTATTTGTTCAGTTGTTTTAAACTGAAACTTTGCAGGGTATGGTAAAAATAAACCTCTCCGATCAGTGGTCAGCCTCTCCGATTGTAGTCATGTTTGATCCTGGGCGTACCCAAGAACAATTTGAGGGGTTTTTCATCTATTTCCTCTTAAAAACATATGTAATAATTATCTGGGTAGCCGAGTGGCCATAGTGCTCACCCTCAAATCTGTAGGTCACCCTCAGTGACCTCTTTTCAGTGACCTCTTCTCAACTGTGCTCACCCTCAAATCTGTAGGTCACTGGTTTGGTTCCAAGCGAGATCATTACTGGACTCAGTTGTCATTGGGCTGTAAATTAATGATGCTGTTTAACAAAAGGTCAACATATAGTAACAAGACCAGGTTTTGGACAATTCTTTCTCAAAACCTCAAAAAAGCCAATGACGTAGATAAAGAAAAAAAATGTTCTGTAATCTCTTCTTTCAAAATAGTATTGGCACTATAACATTCACTTACTACATACTTACTTAATCCTGTGCCAGTGGAAAGCAAGTTGGTTTATGGTCTCACATTGTTTTTGCCTTCATTGCTCTTATGTTTCTTCTATAGCAAAGCATTCTCAGGCCTTTCTTCACTTTATTCAATTCTGAGTCTTCTTAGAGCTAAAACTCCTTCTGTTTTGCCATTCCACACCTTCTTTGTTGATCATTGGGTTTTTATTATTTCCTCTATAGACATACTCAACCAACTAAATCTTTTTGGATTTTTTAGGGTTCCTCTTTTAACCTTGCTTTTGCCCATCCACATGAGTCTAAGACCTGTGCTTAGAACGAATTAAGCAAAACATGCGGTGATCCAGGACAGTAGAGGAATTAACTTTTTGATAAATTTTAGTGCTGATGCTGGGAAGCAAACCTTTGACTCTTGACATTGTTGCTTTGGTTTCACAGTCTATCACGCTATCACACCCCTGATTGAGTCACTTCCTCTCTAAAGAAAGTCAATCAAAATCTTAAGTACTAATTTTGTTGTGCTGATATGCATGCAAAGTTGACATTGCAATCAAGTCCTTGGTAGCTTAGTTTATTGTTTTTAGAAATTTTCTACAAACTTGTCAACCTTCAACTTAACAAATTCAGTTGAAATGTATTAACAAGTTGAATCATAACTAGTTAGTGCAATTTTAAAACACCGGTACCTAACTTTGAGAGGAGACTACATTTCTTGGTAACAACATTGGCTCTGATACACCAAAAGGTGCAAATTTGGAAAGGAAAGTAAAAATGAATCTTTCTGGCAGATTTCGACGTGCAGCTGATCCTTGACTCCAAGAAACAGAAGAGTCCTCGCATGGCTCTGCTATCTTTGGAAGGCCACAGTGTCCACAACCAGACCATCACCCTTGACAAGGGGCTGCAGAAATGCCAAGAGGTCTTTGTTTACATCAAGGTATGCTATGGTTACTGTATCTGTGTTTATGTTTAGCCATCTCATTCCCTTAGCTGTAACTACCGGTAGTTAAAAAAAGCTAACATATTGTTTAGTTGAGCCATCAACATAGTGTATTGCTGTCAATTCCCAATTTCTGCTGAATGCACAACTTTTTTCATCTGGTTAAGGACAACTTGTTGAAAACTAAAGCCTCTTTTATGTATCATCAATTATCATAGTAAGGAAAGCTAAGGCAGTTTTGACAAATCACACAGTGTCAAAGGCTTTCAATCAACTATGTTATTTTTAATAATAATTCACCACAACTGGTTTATACATGTTATGTCTTCTTTAGTGTACAAATGTCAATTGAATTGCTTAACAATGAATTAATAAATCGATGTTTATTATAATATATATTTGTTATTAAATCATTTGAATATACTGCCACCATTCATCAGTTTGTGATTTAGTTCCTAGTGCACACTGCATTCACTTGTGATCTAAAAGACTTTGTATTGTCAAGTCATAACATTATAGTACAAAAATTAACTTTGTGTCAGTTGTTTCCTGATGCATCCCTTTTATTATGGATAGAAACCATGATCTCCCTGATTTTGGGTAGCCTAAATCAATTCACACTAGTTCCTAAAGTCAGTAAAAGTATAATAGTACATCGGTCAACGTTTTAATAACAGTATGTTAATCTAACAAACAATTAACGACAAACTTGTCAACAGCCGGGTATCAGAGACAAGCTCACAGCATTGGAAGCAGAGATGCGCTACAGTTTGCGTCCCGGACCATCGCAAGGAAGTAGACGCAGATATCAGCGATCTCTCACACCCGTGCTGGATCTCAACGAACCTCTAACGCAGAAGGACAGTGTTGTCATTCAGAAGAACTGCGGCAAAGACAACGTCTGCATCCCCAATCTCCGAATAAACGCCACTCCGTTAGTATGAATTTAAAAATATAAGGAATAAAATGTGATGAATAACTTAGTTGGGTTTGGATTTTATAAGTGAATAAGAAAAACTTTTGTTGAGGTGTTATGATTTTGTATAGTTGAGTACCCTAAATGAATGTATGAAGTAGTAGGATATTTTACCTTTGACAACTGAAAAAGTTTAACTTGTAAATAACTTAGATTTTTTCTCATTTAAAAGACTTTTAAACTAAGTACCGGTACCTCAATCTGCAGATTAGCAATAATGTTTCAGGAATGTGAAGCGCTACTTGCTCGGCTCCGGAGAACGACTGAGCGTTGACGTCGTCGTCATCAACGAGGGAGAAGATGCGTTTGAGTCTGTGTTTGACATGAGGGTTCCTCCAGGAATCAACTACGTCAACATTGAGAGATTAGACACGGAGCGCGACGTTCTGGTACAATGTTCGGCTCCTTCATTCATCAACAACCACACTCTGCATTGTGACATTGGCAATCCTCTACCAAAAGAGAAAACGGTATGTTATACTTTTGGAATTGATTATGTGGAATGTAGATTTTGTAAGTACTTTTGTAATTAAGATTTAAGAGAATAATATTCATATTCAGGAGGAGGTGATTGAAAAGTTACTAAATTGTTATATAGGCCTATATTTAAAGCTCTATACCTACAAATATTTACCTACATATTACACCTTGTTGATTTTCATGATGGGTTAGCCTCTGGATCGTAAATAGCAATATAAAAATGGTTTATTTTACCTTTTTGCGTCGAACGATCCGTGTGTAGTTAGTACAACTACAGCTGTTTCATACCACTAGGGTACATCATCAGGTTGTTGGCAGAACGTTAGATAAAACAGCATTCATTCATAGATGAACTTGTCGAAATAAATATGTCTATATACACATAATACACGAAAAACATTTAAAAAACATGAATTTATGAACTTGGCCAAGTAACGAACACACGAGACAGGCGCCGATGGATGTTGGGTCATGACTGCTGTCGTGTGTCCAAGCATCAGCTGTTACCCCTCTCCCCCAACTCCTTTAGTACCACGTAATACCTGGTTAATTAAATTTTAACCACGTAATAACCTAGTGGTATGAAACAGCTGTAGTTGTACTAACTACACACGGATCGTTCGACGCAAAAAGGTAAAATAAACCATTTTTATACCTTGTTGATGTTTGTATAAAATTTCTATTGGATTTGAGGATTCAAATTCACCCCCATATAAAGTAGCTTATCTCATAGATAGCCTTTATATTGTGGTTTCAAAGTGTTACTTTGTACTTTTTTCCATCTTGGTGTACCCCAATAAGCCCCAAATGTTTATACATATATATATATATATATATATATGGGTCGATAAGAGTAAAATAACCAAAAGTTACCACAGATGTATGCAAGCACAAGTCAACCAAAACTGGCTAGACTACCGGATATGTACAACAATGGTACAACATACTTATGGCAAGTTGCATACAATTAATTATATCTAAAGCTCAAGAGGCTAACGTACCATTGACAATTTAGAGGTTTTCAAGAGTAGATCAAAGACTCGATAATCTTAGTAAGCCTGTAAGAATAATTTTAAACTGTAATTGTAATGTCATGTTCCCATTTTGTTATTAAGGGGGTTGAATTTGACAAAAAGACTCTTGTTAGCCAACATTGTTAATTATTTTATATCACTCTTGAAATGCATATTTTATTTTTGTTATTATATTTTAATCTTTATTTCAGGTGCACTTCAAAGTGTTACTGCAGCCATTCCACAAGCCAGGCATGAAGGCCCGCTACGAGTTTGACATGTCTGTCAACAGTACGAACCCGGAAAACAAAACTTCAAGTGACGACAACTCTCAGCATCTCGTTGTTCATATTTGGGTTGAAACCGATCTCATCTTGCAAGGGTAAAAATTTTATAAATAAAGAAATAGGGTATGTAGTAAAAATGCTAGATTGAAAATGTTATGAAAGTTGTTTGCGGGGTGGGTCATCAGACTTTTCTCTAGTGTCAGATATGAATGGACACATGCAAGACTGGCAGGCACTAAAATATTAAACTCAGGCGGATTGGGCCCTGAACTGTTCTATGTAAAATTAATTAATAAAGGATAATCACATTATCTCATCAGTTCCTTTTGTATGATTCCAGAATTGCACTATATAAAAGTTTATTAGAATACACCTAGGACCTTTTAAGACGTCTTAATTAGCCTATATTAGTCACACGGAACATGAACACCACTTAAATAGTATTCACTGAAGCTTTCTTAAAAGGATCCCAAAGTTGCCCAAATAACCTTAATCTCTACCGGAATCAAACCTATCCCTTTTGGACCAAAGTCCAAGACACTAACTACAGCTAACACACCCAAATAACCTGTTTTAGACTTCTTTATCTTTTATAAGTAAGCTTTGGTTTACTTGAACCACATTGCCTTGGTAAGTTTACAGACAAACTATGTTGAGCAATGATTTGAACAACTGATGTCTGTGCAGGTCGTCTCACCCCGCCATGGTCCACTACAACACCTCGCTGTATAGTGAGGACAACATCACCGAGGAGACGGACATCGGACCACAGGTCGTACACATCTACAGCATCCGCAACAAAGGGCCCTCAGACATCGTAGAGGCAGAAGTGCATTTTCTCTGGCCAACCGCCACTCTCGCCAGTAAGTATAAATTACACTAGGAAACATAAAGTGAATTTCTATGATTATAGGTTTTCCCAAATTCATGAATTTAAATTGTGTCAGTTATTACCGTATTTGCCAGCAAGTTTGGCATTTTCATGGTGTCTTTTTATGTTATCTCCTTACATCACTAACACAACCGTCTATAATATGTATAAAACATTTACTCATTTTGTAGCCTCCAGAATTGCTGGGTTAGTAAATTATAAAGTAATCAAACATCATCTACATACCTTCAATGCAAGTAATTCCTGTTTTTAGTATAATTATGTATACTTTTCGGGGTTATAATCCCAATATCAGGTCTTCAAAAACATGAAACATCATCTTCGCAGACTTTTGGGGCACACACACAACACATACAAAAAGTAAAAGTAATTAAACATTAATTTTGGACTAGGCTACATAAACCAAAACCTAGCTGGCTTTATACCTTAAATTTGTAATATGGAAACAAGCTTTAATTTATGTTATCTATCTACAGGCAAGCATGTTTCTTAAAAACCTTTTTTCTCAGCTTGTGTGCATCGCAGGGAAAATCTATGCATACCGTTGGAAAGATACTTTCCTGTAGATGTGCAGAATCCCTTTATAAACTAAAATATGCTCAAATATAAGCACAAAAAATTAGTTTAAATTTTTTTTTTAATTAACACGGATTTTATGGGTTGCCATGCTGGTGACAAAATAACAACGAAATATAATCAGAAATCAAAACAAATGGATGAAGAAACTCCAATCACATGTTTAATTTACAGTGTTGGGGAAAATATACAAGTCTGTACATTACATATTTTTGGTCGAATTCCGACCACTGGACGACCGCTAGTATTAATTAATATTCTTGTTTTACAGATGATTATTTGCTTTACCTGTTAGAAGAACCTGAATTGAATGGTCCCATAAAATGTGAACTCCCACCTAATATAAACCCATTGAAGTTAACGGTATGTATTAGAATATTATATCATATCTAGGTTTATATATTATCCTATTTGAGTAAATCTTGATATCAAATGACTACTTCGAATTGTAAGAACACAAGTTTAAACCCATTTTATATTATTAGAACAATAATTCTTCATTTAACTATGAAAAAATCATTTAAAGGCAAATTAAATTATTTAAAAGCGAATTTTTATATTAATTCAGTTGTAGGTGCAGTTTTAATGACTCATTATTAATACCCTAATACATTCTCTTATGTTTAGGTTGAAAGAAAAAGGAAGTCATATTTAGAGCTTGGAGGAATTCAAAGTGGATTAACCTCCTCAGGATCATTTACGAGCTCCTCAGAAGGTGTTCTAGTAGAAGAATCTGGGTCTGCCTCATCATCATCTAGTTCCAGTTCAAGTTCTCGTTCATTTTCATCCTCTGGTGGAAATACTGTAATAACAAGTACATCAAGCCTCTCAGTAGAAGAAAGAAGAAGGTTGGAAGAGGCTGAGAGAAGAGATAAAGAAGAGGCAGCTTCTGAGACCGGAGATGGATCAATAAGACATGAGCAAAGAGTACACATGACTGGAGGAGGGCGACAGGGAAGTTCAAGTTCCAGTCAGAGCAGTTCTAGAGGTAGTTCGGCAAGCTACAGTGGGGGAACTTACAGAGGTGGACAGGAAGAGAATACCCAGACTGGTGGTCCAGGAGTTCGCACGGAGAGTGGTTCTTACGGTGGAAGAGGATCTCAGGGAACATTGATATCTGAAAGAGGCAGAGTAGAAGTCAGCGGAGCTGGATTGAGACCTGGTGGAGGAAACTTTGAAACGTATAGTTCATTTGACAATGATAGACGAACTGGAGGAGGTTACAGAGCTTCTCAAGAAGGCGGAAGAACAAGGCCCTCAAACATAGAGCCAGGTGTAGGTGTTGCCGTAAACAGAGGACGTTACGGTAGTGATGAAAGGATTTACGGAAGCAGTCAAGGTGGTGGTTATCGGGAGACACAAACTACCAACCAGAATGCCGGAAACCGTAGAGTTTCAGAGGCTGAAAGTACAATGAGAAGAAATCAAACTAATTTATATGGAGTAGATGCAAGAACCAATGTCCCTTTCAATGTCGGTGGTGTTCAGAACCACACTTTCTCTCGGGAAGAGAGTACTTCTTCAAACACAACTTGGAATTCTGAAACTGGTGGGAAACCTATCACACGTACTTCTACATCTTGGAGAGAAAATGAAGACGGTGTTGTTCGTACAGGTGAGTCTTCAAATACTTACGAAGCAACTAATGTCAACATTGCAGATATGGCTAGAGGTAGTTATGGTGCAAGGGGGAGTGAAGATAGAGGGTCTTACGCTGCGGGAAGTAGTGTCTCTCGACAATACGGGTCAGAATCTGACAGCAGTTACCGGTCAGGAGGATCATCCGGCACACAGTACAGAGGAAGTGAATCATACGGTAGGAGTGGAAGTGGGCAAAGCCAAAGTTCTTATGGCTCTAGCTCTCAAGACTCTAGAAATAGGTTCGAAGCAAGTGCTGGAAGTGCGAGCTCAGGTTCAACATCGAGATACGATCCAAATGCTGTCCTTACTCCAGCCTCTTCTTACGGTTACGACTCTAGGAGAACGAATTCAGCAGCTGGGTCATCCAGCTACGGTACATCGAGTGGTTCAGCGTCGGGTAGTTCACAGTTCGATGCTCTGGCGGGCATAGCAGCAGGTCCTAGAGACGGTGTTGCAAGAACTTACACCTTCGATGTTGCCAATGAAAATGAAAAGTCATTTGGAGGGCATGGTAGCATCGCTGGAGTAGCAGCGGGTTCAAGAGACAATGCGAGAACTTACTCGTACGACAACCAGGGAAGCAGAGGTAGCTCTGGACAATACGCAAACTCTTCTGGATATTCCCATCAAAGCAGCTGGTCATCAGACGGAGGCAGACCTTACATCTCTGGGACTTGGAGTGGTGATAGAGACAATGTTGATTCCACTGGAAGGAATGTGGGCCGCGACAATGTTGATTATGACTCGGGTAGTAGACGAAGCGGATCGTCATGGAGATCATCATCGTCATCAAGCCGGGAGAGTAAACACAGCAGCGCTCAGTCAGCGAGGTTACGAGAACAGCCAGCAGTGGGAGACAACGTCGTGGAAGAAGAGCCTGGGGTAAGTGGTAGTAACTGAAAACATTAACTAAGGTTTTACTAAATTGCATTTCATTAAACAATGTTATAATGGAACCAATTTAAAAAAAATAGATATTTGTACCCAAATGAAATGCCTCACAAACCAAAAGAGGCTCAGCTGGTCTAGTAGTTACAGTTCAGGATTTTTGTCTTGGAAGCCTGAGTTCAAATCTGTTTAATCTAAATAATATATATAATAATAAGGGATAGGTCCATTTTAAAAGGAAAACAGTCCATGTGGAGAACCTAATTTCTTTAAAAATCATAAAAATATTTACCATTTACCTAAGAACAGTGTTTGTTTGGTAGCCTATTTTTTTTTACGCTACAAAATATTTTTGAAACCATTCAAGGACTCTAGATTGGCTGTCTAGCTGAAATTAAAATCACAATAATTCGAGACAATAATGTTTTTTTTTTATAATTTGTTGAAAAGTAAATAGTTCACCTAGCTTACTTGAGAAAATTAGAGACCAGGAACTTATAGATACACAAGAAAGTCAGAAAACGTATTACTGATTTGAAATCCTACTACACGATTTGCTTTCTAATATAGTCACAGCTTTCCAAAAATCATAGAACAACTACATTTTCCGAAGTAAGCTAGTTAAAGTGAACTGTCTTTTAAAAAATCTTATCAACCAATTGGCTTTTCATAAATACATGATTGAGTACATTTCAAAGTTTCTTTACTGAATGGTTGCCTCGCACAGTTGCAGCAGAGGTTCAAGCTGTACCCAAGGTATCGACGTCAGACTTCACCAGAGGACGGAGCTTCTCTGGAAGATCTCCACTGCGGCCCCGTGGCCTGCACACGCATCCGCTGTACAGTCGGACCTCTGTCCAAGGACCAAGAGGTGTGGGTGGCCTTCCGTTCACGAGTGTGGGTCAAGACACTCAAAAAGGTATTTTATTGAAGATTTTGAGGGTAGCGATTGTATCCGTTGGTAATTTCAGCATTATGGTTTTATAATGAATGTATTGTATGACATTTTATAGGAAGGAAATAGTTTGGACTACTAATAGTCAATTGACTAAAATATTTTGAGCCCTTAATTCAACTACAGTAGAACCTCGATAACAAGACTCTCATGGGGATTAGAACATAGGTCTGGTTATTGAGGTTGACTTCTTATTGAGGTTTGCAATAACATGTGATTAGTGGTAAAATGATTTCAAGGTGATTTTAAAATTGCTTGTTATCAAGAGTGCCTTCTTATCGAGGGTCTTCTTATAGAGGTTCCACTGCACCTTATATAATATCTTTGTTTCTTTGTTTCTTCTCAGGAAAAGTCACAGGAAAAGCATTACAGTGGAACCTTGATAAGAAGACCCTCGATAACAAGTCCCCCTTGATAAAATGTGTCATTTTCAAATCCCCTTAAAATTATTTTACCCTTAATCACATGTTATTACAGACCTCGATAAGAAGCCAACCTTGATAACAAGTCTTATTTAACAATCCCCTTGAGAGTCTTGTTATAAAGGTTCTACTGTAGTATGCATTTTGAGCATTTTATTTTAATAAAGTGAAATTAATTACATCTAACTAGTATAATGCTGCACAGTAAACATTTTTAAATTCATTTATGACAACAGGTTATCAACTACTGTACATAAAACAAAGAGACTGACATTCTATATTTTCCAGTTTGCCGTCCACCCAGAGGTGCAGTTAAGCTCGCTTGTTGCGGGTAGAGTGACAGAACTGCCTCACATCGGCGCACCAGACATGAGCGCGCTACACACGCACGAGGTGTTGACAACTGTTGCTGCGCGAGACTCGGCCACGCGACCAGACGTGGTCCCATTGTGGGTGGTCGTGCTGTCTGCGTGTGCCGGCGCTCTCATACTCATGCTGCTAGTCTACGCACTGTACAAGGTTAGTATTTGCTGTAGGCCAAGTTTTGAATATTATCATATTGTATTACCAATTAAGATTGAGTATATCTTGTCGTATATCTCTTACCTGGGTATATTTTAACTCAAATATGAGTGAATGGTGAGTGTAAATCGTTTGAGATGCTTGTGAAAGATTACGATCAGACGTTCAATAGCCTTGCTAATTTATAAAAGGCCCAATGATCAAGGACTCAAGGGTCCAGTTTTAAAACATCTATTCGGTACTGTCTTTTATCAGAATTGAACCGGTGACTTCAGATATTGAACGACATACTAAAGGTGGGCAGCAAAGGGGTTAAAGGGTTAGTGACATTCTTTGATTACTGGCAAAAAACCAAATTATAGATCATGGTTTTGAAGCAGTGGCGGTCCCAGGATTTCATTTCGGGGGGTGGGGGGGATGATCACCGAGGGGTCTGGGGGGTATGGAATTTAAAGCCTAAAAACATATTTTTATACGTATTTGAACTCTAAAATATGCTCAAGCTAAAAGTATTTATGTTAGCTAATAAAATATAAAATATTTCGGGGGGGAGATATATCCCACCCATCCCCCCCGCCACTGGTTTGAAGTACCATCCACTAATAAGCTGCAGTCAAGTTACTGCAAAAACTCTAAGTCCAGACATCTGGGTCTACTCCTCACATCCCAAAATGTTCACTTCACTCTCAATAGTTAACTTTTCAAAGGTTGTCAAGGTTTAAGATTACCATAGCTAAGATCTCGAACAGCAGGTTCACTACTCACACATTTTACCGTTTTCTGGAATAATAATCACAAACCATTAAGCCAATCACTAACTGGCCACTGCAGTGCTACTGTAATTGCCTTTCGTTGGTTCTACACACCACCCCCTTACTTGTACAGTACTTAAGTTTCTTATACTCATAGCCTAGCACTTTTGTGTCCCAAGACAATCTAAGTTTCCTTATTGCTAACGTTTGCTTAAGGTTGTTTTTAAATCCTGAGAAAAATGTAAACCATTGTTTTTACAAATTCACAATTTGGCTCTAGAGCTTAGCGATCAGCTGGCCTTAGTCAGTTACTAAATAAGCACACCATTCATCCTTCCACCCCTTAAACTGCACCATAATGATATTCACTACAGTTACTCAATGATCAAAATATTTTCTCTATCTTTGCAGTGTGGTTTCTTCAAGCGTAACCGTCCGTCATCAGACGTGCCAGAGAAGCAGCCTCTGAACCGCAACGGCCATTACCAGTCGGGCGACGAGGCTTTGTGACGACAAAACTCAGCATTCCTCGCAGACAACCGCAGTGCTGACTCCTTCCTGTAACATGTCTAGTCCTACACAGCTGTACCAGTGTCTGTCACCTGTGGAGGGTTAATTGTCTAAAACACTTCCTTTTCACGAATGTGCTGCCATCCTAATTCGGTTTTCGTCCAGCTTATTATGTTTTTTGGTAATTTAATCTATGATTGAAATCAAGTAGACATCCATTTCCCACGCTTAAATTGGATTGACAAAGTTTGCTGATGTAACTCTTTTGTCCGTCACATGTGCAAACTTTTAACAAAGGTACATGTAAAGGACAACTTTAGCAGCTTTTATGTCATTTTCAAATCTAATAGTACTGTACCAAAAACTAAAGTCAAAATTCAGATTTTGACAAGAATTCATACTATGTTAAACGGTCATTCAACAACTTCTACTTGAATACAGGGGGTCTAGCAGGATGTCTACTTAAGTATGGAAAATTAAACAAAATTCTGATGTGGGTCACTTTGAGATTCCTAGAAAATAATGTTTTGTTTCAATATTGTTAGAATAAAATATTCACAACACAGATTTATTGATGTGCGATGAAAGGAACCTCTCTATTTCCCCTCTCCACCCACATTCTTTTATTTGCGTAATAGTAATAGTTATGTATTTAATGGTGGCAATATTGAAAGGAAGTTAATGTCATAGATTCAAAGAGGCAGCTAGTACATAAGTCATTATAAAAACAAAGATGTCCTTCCTATAAATGTAAATTGTACCACTAGGAATGTACTGGTTTAATAAATTATTGTATAAATGTTTAGTTATGTTATTAATATTTTATTTTTTTTACTAAGGATTAATTTATTTTTAACATAAGCCTTTATAAATAAGAAATGCTCTCAAGGTTATTCACAAAAAGTTTCATTGCTAGTCATGATTAAAACTGTATGTTTTGAACATAGAATTTGTACCGGTAATGTTTATTACATTTTGCAAAACAATAGAACAAGACTTTTTATTGAAAAGTCATTCTAAATTCTTTATACCAATAATTAATTGCAATTTTTCTTCTTTAAATCTTTACAGCAAATCAATATAGTATTTGATGTAAATCTAATTGTTTAAAGATGAACAACGATAACTGATAAAAAATCATGATAAATTGTATACACCAGTTGGTGACGATTTCATTATACAGTATGTGTTTTTCTCTTGAAAATGAAACCTAAGTCATCTTTATATAAAGTTTTTGTGAATAACATTTTCCTACTTAACTCTTTAATTTATTAATATTGCTGATGTAACAAAATTAGCAAGATTTAGTCGATTTGTAACATAGTAACAAAGACTGTAATTAATTGTATATTAACAAAAGTATTTTAGATAGGTTAGTATAGGTGTAAGCTGCATAAATGTTGTTTTATGTAGCGCTATTAAGTTTTTTTACAGACTATAGGATTTTTATCTGTTTATAATCTTTCACAGTTTAATATCACATTTTCTATTTTTGCCAATAAGCTATAATTTTCAACTCTCGTAAGAGAATCGTAACAATCGTTTACCACTCTTACTTATTTGCATCTGTTGTTTTTTTACAATAGGATTAACAAATTTCAGTAATATTTTAGTTTGAATGCACTCTTATCAAAATTATATCCTAAGTCCCCAACGTTATTTCATTGTTCGTTCTTTTAAATTATTAATTTTAAGGTACAGCAATGTCGTCTTTGCTCTTATTGTTGTTGAAACTTATAACCAATCAAAGTGCCATTATAGTAGTTATAAGAGCATATTGTTCGTCTTGCCTTGCTAGAAAAAAAACCTTAAAAATAATAGTTTTCTTAAAATTTTAGACGTTTGCCATGCTGAATGGAACTTAAAATACAAAGATTCTCAAACTTTTTATAGTTATCTATTTTGTAAATAATTGTATAGTTTTGGTAACAGAACATGTGCCTATAGTATAAAATGAGTTATTTTGAAAGTCAAAACGTTTCTGTTTCCCAGCATAATGTAGAAGGAAATGTTATTGTAAAAATTGTTTTCATGTGGATCTGAATGATTGTAAATATAATGTGTTATGATTTATATATAACTTGTTTCGTCATTTTGCTACCCATCCTTTATCCAGCATAGGCCAATCAGAATGGGGTAAATGGAGAACTCAATTGTATCTTAAAAAGTGTTTTAATACATCCAAAACTAATATATAAATAAAAATATAATACAAATAATAATACATAAAAATTGCATTAAATACATAAAACAATACTATTGTTATCTATTGACACACTTTAGCTTGTCTTCTATGTGTAGTTATAAAAAAAAAAAATAATAAATAAAATAAAAAAAACACCCTATTAGTCCAGTCAATGAATGCTCAAAAGGGGGGTGTAGAGGACATGGAGAGGGGGAAATTTTTTTCTGCGGGAATGTGTTCGGGGTAGTTAGAAGATAAAAATACCAAAAGTCCCCGCCCCTGGCCCTGCTGCTTCAACGGGGGGAGGGGGGGAAAGACCCCAATTTTTAGTTTTTTACTTCTACACTGAAAACCGTGAATCGTACGGGAAAAATGTAAATTATAAAAAGAAAGATGATGAAATTCTCTACAAGAATGGTCATATTCATTTCTTCTGTATATGCATTATTTTAAAAGATATTCACAAAATAATATAAAAATTCTTAAATAAATTGATTTTTCACACGTTTTTTGTCAAATAAGTTTATATAATCCATTAGCCTGTTGTTGTTTCACATCAATCAGGATATAAAACAGGGTTTTGAACACTAACCTATATAATATAATATATCAATCGTATATATTGTGTTAAAAATAGTTTGTATAAATTTAAATAGGTTATATATATTTGTCATGGAAACAAGTAATTTTGGCATAATTATTACATTAAAAATTAAAAAGATTATGTTTGTAGCTATATTTGTCCAGGTTTATTTATAACAATTACCGAAACCAAAACTTAATATTATTGTTCATGGTCTGGCTCACTTGGGACGAGAGGGTCCGACTTCTGTCCCAAAAACTGGTGCCATCTGGAACTGAAAACCACCATCTAGGACATCTCCATCATTCAATTCTTGTTGATTAGACTCAATATTGGCTATCAATTAAAGTGAGAATTCGGTGCAGGCCTGTATATTCTTCATCTTCCTCATTCATCAGAATGGGCATTTCATGTAAAAAGATACCTTAGCAGTTCTGGCATAATGGAGAACTCTTATTGGACATTTTCTTGCATGCACAAATTGCACATCTGGCACTGTTATAATCTTGAGTGCATTTGCAAAAAACTTGGTTAAGGGATTAACTGTTCCTGGTTACTATAATTTTGGTGTCTTTGTTCAAATGAATATCTACTGACTAGTGGCGGTCCCTGGGGGGGGGGGAGTTCTGATTAGAAACTATCTTTGTATATGATATTGTATAGTTTAAATTTATTAGTCCAGTGCAATTAGGTTATGACCCGGACAAAATTAATAACAGGCTGAAAATTGGTGGAAATGTTCAAAACAATGTCCTGAGTGGCCCACACAAAGTCCCAAGAAATCCCAGTTAGGGAACGGCCGCCATTTTGAAAAAAACTGCCGCCATCTTGGAAATTTAGATTTCTTGCCGTATCTTTTGAAGTAATTGTCCGAAAGACCTTATTTATGTCTCAAATTAAACGTTTTGGGCTCATGTATGAGGGTAATATATAATTAAAGAGTTTATTATGTTCTAAGCATAAATATTATTTATATTAACCTCAAAAATACCCATAATAATGATATAGATACGGTTATGTCACCCCTCTTATACGAATTGTGGATATTTATATGCATGCAAGGTGGATGCGATACTCGCTGGTGTGGATTAACGTCCGCACGGGTGAGTACTACGACTATCCGCAGTACTATCCTGATAATTAACCAATTCGTAATTAAGTTACCAAGGCAAAAATGTGGTTCGGATTCCACTATAAACTGTAGGTCCCTTAGTTGCCATTAGCTGAATGGGCTATTACTTAACCTGTGTCTAAGGAATAAGTCGGTCTTAGTCACTAACAAGACTACAAGATCGCGCCACTCATCCTACACTCTTCTCCATTCACGCTTGGTTTAAAATACCTACTTTGTATGGTTGCCATTTCATAGAACAGTATTAACAGTATAGATATTGAGTCTAATAAACAAGAATTGGATTATGGAGAGACCATGAACAATAGTATTAAGTCTTGGTTTCGGTAATTGTTATAGATAAACCTGGACAAATGTAGCTACAAACATAATCTTTTTAATTTTTAATGTAATAATTATGCCAAAACTACTTGTTTCCATGACAAATATACATAATTTATTAAAATTTATATAAACTATTTTTAACACAATATATACGATTGATATATTATATTATATATTATATATTATATAGTTAGTGTTCAAACACCTGTTTTCTATCCTAATTAATGTGAAACAACAACAGGCTAATGGATTATATAATCTTAATTGAAAAAAAAACCGTGAAAAATCAATTTATTCAAGAATTTTTATATTATTTTGAGAATATTTTTTAAACCAATGCATATACGGAAGAAATGAATATGACCATTCTTGTAGAGAATTTCATCATCTTTCTTTTTATAATTAACATTTTTTCCGTACGATGCACGGTTTTCAGTGTAGAAGTAAAAAACTAAAAATTGGGGTCTTTCCCCCCCCCCTCCCCCCCGTTGAAGCAGCAGGGCCAGGGGCGGGGACTTTTGGTATTTTTATCTTCTAACTACCCCGAACACATTCCCGCAGAAAAAAAATTTCCCCCTCTCCATGTCCTCTACAATCCCTTTATTGACTGGACTATATGTAAAACTTATCACTTAGAGAAACTTATCTGTAAAATTATAGAATAGAGATTAATATTCAATCAACATCACCACACTCCACACAGAACCCAAGTAATCTATTCAATTTTACCACAGGATGAAAATTTTTTTTTCTTCTAGATGCACTGTGAATTAACCCTTAAACGTGCACGCTGGTAATTTTGTCATAATTTTACAAGTATGGTGGCAACCCTGGCTAAAAGTGCTATCATCTGGCCGCAGGGTTGTTAGTCTTGACTCATTGACCTGTTATCACCACCCTGGGTCTGGTATACCCCCGGCGGCGCATGCTTGTGTTAACAGTAGGCTACTGCGTTCATTGTGGGGTCTAGTGTACCCCCGCGCACGTAGTAGTGTCTCAGTTTTATCATCATAATTAGTAATAACTTTATTATTTTTTAAATTTTAATAGTACCTATTGAAATTTTGCCAAAAAACTTAGTATTTGTAAACCAATTGGATGGAAATGTCCAACCATAGAGTCCACAGTCCACTTATGAAGCCTCCCAGTAAAAAGTCTGTCATGAAGGGACCATACAATTCCTGCGATAATAATTAAACCAGAAAAAAATGCACGCTCATCATTGCCATCTAGGGTCGGCTCGGATTATTCTAGTAGGAAAGTGGATTGTTTGGATCTCTAGCTGGTAAACGAACGAGATGGCTCATCACTTTAACAGAGGAGTAGACTGCTTGGATCACTCTAGCAGGTTAGCGGATTGCTCAAATCGTCAAATCAATTTAGCAGAGAAGCAGACTGCTTGGATTTACAAAAAAACCTTAGACCTAAAAAACAACTTCTGGGGGGGAATCGAAGGAGTCAACGGAACTTTTCAAATGTTGGTACAATATGTAGTTAATTTAACACATTTTTGTACCCAAATTTGCTTTGCCAGTTTAATTTTATTTACAGTTTTACTGCAAAATTTAAAAATGTGGTTAATATGGGGTCCATAGGGGGGGGGGTGTTGAGCCAAGCAACAAGACTGACCCCTGTTTGGAAAAAAGAGCATCAATGACCGAGCTCTTTATTTTGAACCCCATTTCCAGGGGGGCCGTGCTCGCTCCTCTGTGCTCGATTGGATTTGTTTTCTTCCACAATTGTGATTACTGGTTAACAGCCCCCCCCCCCCACGGGAACACCTATGGTGAGGAAGGTCATAGTTTTATAGTAATTGGGTTAAAGCCTAGTTTGTCAAAATCAAGTTGTATAAAACCTTAACGACATTACTTATTGAGTTAGTGACTTTACAAGATGAATAATAATATGAACCATATGAGAATATCATAGATAAAACATAGTCTAAGGCACTATGTTTTATCTATGGGAATATACAGGGCCGTGAACAACTTAACTCTGGGCCACCATTTAGAATCTCATAAACTATTGTGTTTAAAAAAACAACAAAATGAGGACTTCAACTTTTTTTTCATTCCTTTAAAAACCTTAAATTTCACTTTTTCAAAAATGTCCGCCATTTTCCAATATGGTGGCTATTTTTTAATTTTATTATGTAAGTACAGAGTTCATTAATTAATTCAAAAACGTTTTTCATCACTCCTGTATTCGAAATTAGCCCATTTCCATACAGCTGAGATCTTCGAAAATCGTTAATTTCCATACACCAAAAACAAATAGTGATCAGCTGTCTTTTCCTGACATAAAAATTACTTTCGCTACACACAAACAATATTGTGCCTGACATCAACAAAGTTATATATGAGGTAAAAATTGGTTTTTCTCATTTTTGACCCTCAAAACATAAAATTTACCAAATTTCCTCTTGCCCATTTTGAAGAGCTTAAAAAAACAAATAATTCAGTATATTGAAGTGTTTTTGTATGGGTTATTGGTTCCGGAGAAAATTGTAAATTAAAAATTCCCATGTTATTCTTATGGAGAATAAATAAACTGTTATAGTTTGAGGTAAATATTTTTTACTAGTGCAAAGAAGAGCATAATGAGAGCTTTCGCACTATAAGGTTACGGCGACGGCAGAAAACCATGCCGTGTTGCAGTATCGGGTACGTCCACGATGCAGATTCAGATTGTCGGCGCCGAGTGTCTGACTCCGATGAGGTGGCCTTAATGCAAGCAGGTTGTATGCTGCACCTGTCTGTGTTGAGGTTGAGGGATGCATACATATTTTCCCGCAACTTCTTGCATACGACAACAGGTAAAAAAAAATTAGAATGAGCTTGCACACCTTTTATTCAATTGTCATAAAAATCGAGCACAAGCTCACCAAATATCCACCAAAGCTTTTTATGATGATTACATAAAAGGTGTGCAAGCTCATTCTGAAAAAATAAAAATAAAATAAAATAAAAAACTGTTGTCATCCGAAAGAAGTTGCGGGAAAATATATGTATGTATCCCTTAAATAGGTCTCAACACAGACAGGTACAGCTTAAAACCTGCTTGTATTATGGCCACCTCATCGGAGTCAGACACTCGGCGCCGAAAATCTGAATCTGACTCCCTGCTTATACCAGCGTGCATTGTGGACGTACCCGTAAGGTAAAAATCTGAGTCAGATTACCTGCACGCAGATAATCGGCGCGCAGGTGCACTATGGCACAGAAAACATACTACTATAACCGGTTGTAGTATGTTTTCTGTGACTATGGCCACTTACGTTTACTAACATGGGACAATAAGCGCGCCGAGTCTGACTTAATCGGCGCTGACAGTCTGATTCGGAAAACCAGCGTGCATTGTGGACGTACCCGTTCCACTGTCTCTAAACCGGACGATTGCCGTGCCGACCGTGGCCATAAGTCATGGTCAGTGGTACATGTAGATTGTAGTTAAATGCAAGCTTTCATACTGCACGATTTTTAATCGAACGTGAGCTCACCAGCCAGTGCATATGGATAACAAAAATGATCAGCTGGTGCCAATGTTAATAGTTTAAGCTCTGGCCTGTCAGAACACTATGTTGACTGTTTTCTTGTGATTTGGTAAACATGCACATTTATCTCACCGTAAGGTCATAAAAGGTGTAATGTGAAAGAAACATAGCCACGATGTAAAATCGCACTATTTTCAACCAAACTGTGGAACACGTATAGTGTTAAAGGAGTGTAAAACGGCAAAACCTTGCCTACCTATTCAACCCCCAACCTACAGAAGTAACTGAACCCAAAAATCTAACAGCCACCCAGCCTATACATCCGCCGGATGGAAAAAAGGCCCTCGTCACTTCTTTTGCATCACACTATCTAACAAACCAGCCTATTCGCTGCATCTTCAGTTAAAAACCAAATATTCTTACCTAAGTTAAGCTGTAACGTAACGAGTATGTTTTTTATCGTTGATTAGAATATAGATCTCCGCAAGGGGATGATATATAATCAACGGTTTTATCCTTGGCTGTAATTAATTATTATAACTTTATTGTGAAATTGCAAGTAAGATAGTCATTTAATTCCAATTTACTTTATGACTATAACATATTTTTTAAAGTAGTCTTTCGTTATTCAAATGATTTTTAGCGAATTTCCCTATAGGGAAGTAGCTATTACCGTAGGTCTCATGGTAAGACCTAGGCCCGGGACCGATTTACTTTTTCATTTTGATGTCCCCAGAGGCTAAAAACACCATTCGTTCAAATTTTTATATCTATATCTATATCTATATATATATATATATGTGTCCATCCGCACGATAACTTGAGTAATTTTTGTCCGATTTTGATAAAATTTGGTTTGAAGGTGTAAGGCGGGATAAACTCGAACGAGTTCTCGAACCAGCATGATCGGACTATGGGAACGGGGGTTTACGGGGGGTTTTATGGGGTAAAAATAGGGTTTTCCCATTTTTGACCCAAAAAAAATAAAATATTGCAAAATCTTTTCAAACCATTTTGTAGAGCTTAAAAAAACAAATAATTTAGTATATTAAAGTGTTACTATGCGCCTAAGTAGACACGCCTACTAAGTAGACATTTTAGTGTAAATCCAATCAGACATATGGAAATTCGCTTAGTCTGCAGGTTTGCTGCGGCGGGGGTATTTATCCTAACAGAAGTGTATTTTATATGTGTGGTACTCAATACTCACACAATTCTACTGGCTTTCAAAACACTGAATGCGTTGTGACCTGCCATGTTTGCTATTTTCACCTCCACGTCGGAGCCGCCATCATTGCGACGTATGATTTTGTCTGCCGTGTTGTGTGTCACTTTGGTTATGTGCAGTTGATTTAGCCATTCTATTTACCAGTTGTCTCAGTGCTTCCATAAAAATGAGAGGATTATTTCTACTGTTTCTCCTGGCTATTCCAGCTGTAATATTAACTTTCGAAAGTGGTAAGCTATTTTATTATTAGACCTGTGATGGAAATTATGTTGAAGTAATAATATGCCGTGTGCTAGCAAAAGTAGCTAAGGATGTGATCATCTTGTTCTAAATTTTCGTTTCTCTTTTTAACTAGTTGATTAATCAAAATAAAAACGTTTTAAAAAGGAACATATTCATCGAGTGTTTCTACTTTAGAGCTTACATTCTTGAGTGAACACTAAATACAATAATAACCTAAGTTAGTTTTAACAACTCCTGTGTGGATTTGTAGGCCTTCTACTGAATTACTCTAACTTATGTCATAAACTATACTTTACGGAAGTACACAATCAACATTCAAATTTTGAGAGGCCTTGTATCCAACATTGTCTTGGACAAAACTAATTTCCTTGGTCAACATTTCATTTATGGTTCAAACCACATGCAACACACTTTGAGCGCCAACTCATCATCCTCAATATTTTAAGATGTCAATAAATGACTTCATATTTTAAATATAACTAGCTGTACCCGCGGGCTTTGCCCCGTTTAACTTCATAAGCATTCGCATGGGTCAATCAAGTCCTGGTTGAAGTTCGTTCACTACGCTCACTCACCTTTAGGTTGGAGCTCGTTCGCAGCGCTCACTTGCCTACAGGTTAGTTCGTTCGCTACGCTAACTCGCCTCCAGGTTGAAGTTCGTTTGCTACGCTCACTCACCTTTTGGTTGCAAAATAGCTGTTGTCATAAATAAATAAAAATAATAGTGCTGCGCCCTGTTGGTAATCCTTGTAACTTTAATGCTATTGAACATCATAGAACAGAACCAACTTGTTTAATTGAAACAGCTGTTAAGATTCATTAATTCCTTTTAAATATGAAAAATCATAAGGTTAACATGGGAAACTCCAGAGCCACTGAGGCGGAGCCCGAAAGCCCGATCAGAATAAAAACTACTTAGTTTTCCTATTTAACGCCCAAAGAATCGGTGTACCGAATTTCAGCCTCCTAGGTAAATGGGAAGTGGGAGAATTAGTGATGAGTGAGTCAGTGAGCCTTTTTAGATACAATTTTGAATATAGGCTAAAGGTAACTGGAATGTTCCATCCATACAAATAAGACTGCTCAACATCAGGATGTTTTTTAACACATTTAGTCAGCTGTCTCATACCTTAGACATAAGAATACATAACTTAATCTGTTTCTTTAGCCAGTATCGTAAACATTTTCTCTCATATCATACTTGTGGGTTTATGTTTCCAGGAGTACATTTTGTGGCAGCTGATGATGACGAAGGAGATGACGACTTGGTGGACGTGGAGGGAGAAAGCGAAGGCGAAGAGACGGGAGTGTTGGACGAAGGAGGTGATGGTGACGAAGCAAAACAAGACGGTAAAAGTGGAGGCTCCCCTGACGCCTTGTCCACAGTGCTCTTCACCAAACCGGTTGTCGTCCCTGGAACCAATCTAGGTAGACCCACACTCTTAGCTTATTCCTCCAAAGTAAATTGTAAACATAGGTCTTAGCAAGTTAACGGAAACATACAAATCAGCCAATCTTATCGAGGACTTGATTTTTCAAGTTTCAACTGTTAGTCATTCTCCTTATAGTGAGGGAGGGTTTTGGAACATTTTCTGGTAATCTTGCTATTTCAGTGAAGCTTCAGATACTGTCATCAATTATATTAAGTAAATCTTTTTCAATGTAGGCTAAATCATAACTAAGTGTCAGCCATGTTTAGCGAATCTTATAAGGTCAAGTTGTTGGAGTTAGAATTTAGTTTAGAAGCAGTGACACTAGATTTAATAACTGGGTCTTTTTTGGTACAGCTACCATATACAGATACAGTAGTCTGAAATGACACATCTTAGGCCTTTAGTACTCTTTTGGTAAAGTAAAATATGTTTTGGAAAACAAGGCTTGCTTGAAATTGTTTGGCTGATAATTTTTACAAGGATGCTGCTGCTTAATCTTACAGCATCCCATTTGATCCCACCTCCCACTGAGTGTGAAGAATTAATTGTCAGACAAACTCTTGTTCTTGTCAAACCATAGGAGTGGGACGTGTAGGCCTACCGGTTCACGCCTTGCCATTCCTTGCCGTTCCACCGCCTTTTGGGTTACCGGTCTTACGGGCTGGTTCATGGGTACCGGTAGCTTACTTTTGAATTCATACAAAATAGATTGACTAGTATAGTATTCAGTATTGTTGGCTTTAAAACAAATAATCAATTTTATGTTTCAGAACTCCCTGGTGGCCATCTTGTGGAGTTTTTGGTCGGCTTTCTCAACAAGGGTAGCCAAGACATGACCCTTGAAACTCTGGACGCATCTTTCCGTTATCCGATGGACTTCAACTTCTACATCCAGAACTTCTCTACGCTGGCTTACGAGCGCTCAGTGAAGCCTGGACATGAAGCTACTTTAGCTTACTCCTTCATTCCTTCTGAGTCGTTTGCTGGACGTCCCTTTGGCCTTAGCATCAACCTCAAATACAGGGACGCTGTAAGTAGCCTGATATTTTATATTGTAAAAAGTTAAGCCTATATTGAAAAAAAGTGTTTTCTATTGCAACTCTTGATGATTTACTGGTGCAGTATTATAGACCTTGTATGGATGGTCTGGATATAGTCTACCGGACATTTCCGTTTTTTGTACAGTTTGTTAAGCATGTGACCATAAGGCTTGGGCTTGCTGTTATTTTTACAAGCAAGTTACACCTCTTAATGATCAATCAGTTTCTTGTACTAGTGAAAGGTCCTACTGTCCAGTGAAAGGATAGGAAGCAGTGATTTGGATGTTCAGGTAGGTGTTTGCTCTTTCCACTTCAATGGAGAACTGATTGCTTATAACTCAGTAGCTTTTTCTCCAGAAAATGTGCTTTAATTTCTTGACAAGACCTATCGCATTACAATTTGATCAATATTTGACTCCAGCATAGGCCTACCAAGTTTTTAGTTTAAATTACAATAATTTTTTATTGTGCCGATAATCGAGATTAACTTTGGTCAGTTTATAAAGCAAACTGAATAGGCTAGATATTATAAATAAATTCTTGATCAGCATTGTATGTGTTATTAAATTTACGAAGGTAAATAAAAGATACGTTTTATAACACTTAAAACATATTTACGCTTACTGTTACTCACAAGACGGTAAATATACAAAAAAGATGGTAAGTGGTGATCAATTTCGATTGGACACTCCAATCATCATCAGACCCAATATTATATAAAAAAAATGATTAACATTACTTATTAATTATTTGTGTGTATAACGAAAAGCAGGCTTAACTTACTTGAATGACAAAAATTTTACAAAAAAGTTTAAATATTTCCTTAGCTCCTTCCAGTTGTAGGGTCTCGTCTTGTGTTTGTATTTAAACGATTATTGTTACGCTAACCTTACTGTTGGGGCACAGAGTGGTAACCAGTTCTACGAGGGTGTGTACAATGAGACTGTGAACATTGTGGAGCTGGAGGAGGGGTTGGACGGAGAGACATTCTTCCTGTACGTGTTCCTCGGTGCGTGCGGCGTGCTGCTGCTAGTCGTAGGTCAACAGTTCCTCGTGTCTGTGGGCAAGAAGAGGGTCGGGGGTTCGACAAAGCGGCCGACCGTTGAGACTGGAACTTCCAACCCCAACGACGTCGACTACGACTGGCTCCCAGAGAACTTCAAGAGTATGAGTGAGTAGGCTAGATGTTTAATGTGTTGAATGTAGGTGACTATGGGTGTTTTGATAGTTTTTCCCCCAAAACTAGGTTTAATGATGACAAATTACTTCTCACTTAAAATGAATAAATGACGTTTAGTGCAAAAAATTGCTTTAACATGGGTTTAAAAACTACTTATTTAAACACTAGTTGAATAAATTAAAGTCCAACACTTTTTTACTACCTAATAATTCAAATACAAATTGAGTAGCTCTTATACTATTAGGAATCAAAAGATATAGGCAAGAGCTGCATGTGTGTGTGCTGGGTTAGGAAATTGGTGTATTAACAGCGGAAAGTACGTCATTGCCACTTGAGCCTTTAGCTGAGTGGAGCCAAACACTTTGAGAGCGGCAATGACTGTTTGTGCTCGTAATACTCACACGATTTTTCCTACCACCATAATTTAACTTGTAATAACTTACAGATTCACTTTTTAGTTGTATCTAAAATGTAATTTAGGTTAAATTTGCTTACCAGATGTTTTTGAGAAAAATCAACAGTAAAATATCAGCTAATTTAGTGAGCAAGAATGAATAAGCCGAAATAAGCTATTTTGCAAACTCTTTAGAGGTGTGGCTATGTGATAATTTCCATGCAGAGGTAGTATAAAGATGATTGTTGGTTATTTTTTTATGAATTTTGTAAACTATCCAAATTTAATCAAATTTAGAAGTCTTCAAATTAAAAGATCACAGCATTGTATTCAACCCTTTGTTCTCGGTTGGACAGTTATTCTGGTCACATAGATTACGTGAGGGAACTGGTGAATATCCTGAAATTTGATTTACGATAAGTATAAACACTCCTAAAACGATTTTTAATTACCTATTTTTGTCGATTTACAGACAACAAGTCCCCCAAGGTCAACAAGAGTCCCAAGGTCAAACAACAAAGCCCCAGACAACGCAAGGCTAAGAGGGCTGCAGGATCAGACGACTGAACTCTCTACAAGACTTTCATCTGTAAATCATCATCTAAGTCATCAATCATCAAACTTGACAGTCATCGATTAACTCACCTCAGACTAAAAAAAGTTTTATACTTTATTTATTTTGTTATAGATCGTCTTCGATATTCGAAGTGCGGTGTTAAAGTGTTCTGTGCTAGGTTAATTTAATATTTGTGTGATCTTACTCCTTAAATAAAAACACTATACTGGTGCAGTAGGTTTAGTTACTACTAAACTATTACTATTCAGTTATGATTTTGGTTTGGTAATTTAAACAGCAGTTTTAGAGTTGTAAATAAGCATTTATTAAGTAGAAATAGATTTGGTAATAAATTACGAGTTTTACTGTAAAATTATGTTGTAGATCAAATTGGGGTTCAATGAAATTTGATGGGAAACTGTTTTGGCTCCCTTAAATATTGTAAATTTATTGTGATAATCTTATTGTTGGAAATGTTGTTTATTTGTATACAAAAACGAATTAAAGTATCACAATAATTGTTGTAAAGGATTGTCATGGTTGTGGAAAAAAAGATTTTTTATAATTCACTTGTTTTATTCCTAAATTATCCTTAAACATCTTTGGGAAACATGTTCAATATGATTAACAATTGTGTTGCAACATCTACACCAATCTGGTTTATTTATGTCTCTACGCTATCAAAGTAGTCATTGGGCACCCAACCGGGTAACAAACAAATATTAATATTGGTAATATTGGATTATGTTTTGGTTAAGGTGTTCCCTACCTTTTTTAAAAGAGCCATAATTGTAGTTCTGTCAATAACATTAGTAGTATTGGTGTGTCCAGACTGACATGGTAAGACTGACAGGGTATAAAACAAGGATCAACTTTAAAAAAAGAATTGGACAGAGAAAGTGATTACAACACACAAATTAGCAACTGTTACATCTACAAAAATTGTTTAGCAAAATTTATCAACGAACTTCCTATAAGAATTTTGGAGGCATCTGACAGTTCAAAAACTTTCCATTTAAAATTTTCTTAGGAGCTGGACATTTTTATTTTGACTTAATTTTGTGGCCATCTACGCCGTTAGCGTTTTTATGTATTTTTTCTCAAAGCCCTGGTCTTGATATCTAATGTCAGCCTCTGTTATTTATAGTTGATTATTGATGGTTGAAAACTCAATCTATAATGGATGGCTGTTGAAAAACAACTCGCATTAAAGCAGCGTTTTGAAGCACCCATAACTTTTAAAATAATATACATTTTTTAAATTATAAGATACTTTTAAAGATAATAAGTTGGCAATTACTTCAGAACAATTTCTTTCTTATTACAAAATAAAAAAAAATTCTACTTCCTTACATTTTTCCAGCAAAGGCCCGTTATAAATTTGTTGTTCAGTTTCACTCTTAATAATATGTAATCATATGTAGTCGATTGATTTTACATAGTTTTACCCACAAATACCAGAAAAAAAACCGGTATGGATCATAAACATAAACAAATGACGTTGTTGGCCCAAAACCTATAATAGCATTAACATATGTTTTGGCAGTTCCATTTAAGCAATGTTAAAATGTTTATTTTCAGGCCAAAAACGTCATTTGTTTATGTTAATGATCCATACCTGTTCTTTTCAAGTATTCATGGTTTCACCCAATCACTTTCTTTGTGCAAACAAGGCCCCACTAGAAAAACAGGCCATGCTGCAGCGCAACACTACATCACAGTGGTGGATAGTTGTACAGTAGACTCCCTCTTACCTGGACACCTTTTAACCGGACATCGGTTTAACCGTACTACACTCGGCGGAAATTACATTTGTTTAACCGGATAATTTTTATCAGCACATTGGTTTAACCGGACTCGATCGGCAGAAAGTGGGCAGTACTGAAACGACTGTTCTTGTGGGAATTTGAGAGTGATCTCAGTGGTCTAAATACAATGCTCGAATGCTCACCTAAATTAAAGTCAAATATCACAGTAAAGTCTGTTTTAACGAGTTTTTGGGGACGTCGGTTTAACCAGAAAACCTGCTATACGGACTGGCCTCGGTCCCGAGGAGTCCGGATAAGAGGGAGTCTACTGTACTAAAATCTGACGAACACCCAGCTTATTTACCTAAAACGTGGGATATGGCAGTGAATCTATCCACTAATGTGACGTCATGGATTCTGCAGCATGGCCTGTTTTTCTAGTGGGGCCTTGATGAAAAGCACCGCAATGAAAGTTATTGTCAGCCAATTCCTCAATGAAGCCAAAGTACACTTGGGGCGACTTAAAATATCTGTTGGTTCTAGAATTAAAGGGATAATGGAAAATAAAACTACACCAGGAAACAAAACACGATGTTTTTCAAATATTTATTGAAAAAAAATTGAGAAATAAAGGTGCACAGAACAGTACACAATCACAAAATCTTCCTTAAAAGAAAATAACTCTATAAGCTTAGTCTACTTGATCCCTCAAAATTTGCAGACTAATGCAAAAACAGCTGCCTGACTAGCGAATACGAAGAAAGCAATGGTAATATCACGCGGTTAGTCACTGACTTACACTAAGTGCGACTTGACCTAATAACTTAAGAGTAATGGGAAATAGAGAGAGCAAACACACAAAACAAGACATTCAAAGTAATGTGAGTATTCTCAATTAACTAATCACAACATTTTTTAAAGAAAACAGTTAAAAAAGTAACAAGTTCAAGGAAAACCTTTTAGTTTTTGTTATAAATGGAGCATCTTCTACATTTGTGGTTATGCCTCAATGCAAAACTCATTATAGTAACTGTTTAGAACAACGCTTTGAGAACAATTAATTTTATACATTGCAATGTGATGTGATGCATTTTATTTTACTGAGACCTTCCAAATTATTTAGTAGCCATTTAGCAAAAAATATTTTTGGTTACTACACTCTCAATACTCACAGTTTCTAATAAAATTGGGTGATGAAATATTATGTAAAAGTAGTAAATAAAATATCCTTTATTGTGCAAATGTTTGAGGTTTATCTCGCACTCTACACATCAAAACTCAATTGTGTCAACAATTATAAATGCATGTATGTTTGAGCGAACGAGTTAGTGAATTAATTTTAACCCTTTGCGGTCGAATGGCGAGTATAGGTCGCAGCCTCCCATTTTCCCGACTGCTCGAAAATGGTGACCTATACTCGCTGAAAAAATTTTGACCTTAAAGGGTAGACAGCAGTTTGTAAAAATTAAAATATCACACAGCTGTATTAGGAGGTCACTACTGTACATTTTTTCAGTTTTGCTGCATTATTTAGTGCTTCAGTAGATTACTTAGTATTAAATACAGAATACACTAATGATGCTTATTTTTCTGGCGGAATAGGTTATTATATATGGAAATGGTATCCTTACAGCAATGTTCATCTTATTAATTTAATCCAGAAAACAAGGATCCCTAATTAATCCAGATTTTTGAGGTTTTAATGTAAAATTTTTAAGACTTGCCAAATAATAAATTAACCTAAGACACCACAGATTAGTTAACATTGTATTTTTACAGATTTACTGGGCATGGCATGATTAAAACACAACCTTTGCTATTACAACGTTAACAAACAAAAACACATTGTTCAGAAATGCATTAAAGAAGAAGGAATGGATCACCCACAAAACGGGTTCCAAGTAATTGAAGGCACACAAAAAGTCGCAACACAATTTACTTAAATTTTGCTCCTACCTTGAGAAGAAATAAGTTATTATGTTATAAACTTTTTTTGTGCTTTTAAGTGCTTGGAACTCTTTTCTTGAGTAAGTTAGTTGTGTTATCCATCCCTTCTTCCTTAATGAACTCTTAAACCAAGTGCTTTTGCTTCCAAAAAATTATTGTTAAGAAATGAGGATTTAAAAGGTGATTTGTGAATAAGCAAATGTAACAACTCATAACTTTAACCTCAAAGAGCATTTTATGCTTAACTTCACAAAAAAAGTATAAAACAAATCACTCAGCCCTACACATCAAGCACCTTAACTAATCATATTTCTTTTAAAGAAATACACAATTTAAAAATGCATTTATGTGCGATTGCACTACAAATAATAAACATACTTAAAGCACAACAATCTTTAAACTAAAACTAGGAAATGTGATGCATATTCTTCGTGAGCTCAATAAGTACATTTCATTTGACTTTGTTACGGATGAATAAAAATTAGACACACAACTTATAATTTTAACCACAACAAATAAAGGAAATAACACATCTGCTCCATTCCCGAAAATGAGACAAATTAGTGGCTGTGCACAATCACAAAAACTTAGTATTACTCAGTAATAAAGAATAAATTCATACCAATCAATTTATAAATGATTCAGTATTTTACAATACATTTACAATGATGCCGGGCGGATCATAATACGATGTCTTCGGTTTTAGCAGAGTACATCTGGAAAAAGCAAAGGTCAACTTAATATTAAGAATCCACAAAGATATTTTTAAACGTCTAGTTACTTAGGCTGGCTTATCTTCAAGAATAGGTAAACTACCATAAAGTATACACCATTCACGTTTTAAAACTGAATCCTGTTTTAGAACCTACACAAAAGTTAGAGCCAACTACAATGTGGGCTGCTGCAAAATGCCATTTACTGTCATGTACACTATCTCGTTAACCATGCCAAACTCAAATACAATTCATTTTAAGCCATGGCATTTTTTATGCGAACGGCAATTATTTTATGTATATAAACTAACAATAGGACTATATTCATAACTAGTGGCCTATAGGGGCCGTAGCCCCTAATTTAGACTACAATAAAAAACCAAAAACCATATATAAAATGACAAATATTCAAAATAGGCCTATGTTTTTAAAATTATCAATTTTATGTTACTTAAAATTACAGTGTTTTTTGTTTTATAGCTTGGTTTTCCTTCCGTTGGAGTCGTATATTAGTTGCTTCTGATGTGTCAATGAAATACAATTGTAAAATAATGATTAAATCCATAACACGACATATTAAGAAATCGAAACGTGCACACGGTTTTGCCTGAGCCCGGAGAACGACGAATCAGAGCTGAAATCATACAGCCATACATTGCACATTTTTTCTAGTTTAAAATTGAAGATTTGTTTTGCAATCTTACGAATTCTGTTATAGTTTCCATTTTGAGAACCACATGTAAAGGTCAAAATTATTATTAATTATTATGAAGGCAACTCCCCATTTCGCGGTAGTAAGTCAGAAATATATCTTTGAATTTGTCCCTGAATTTTAAGACAGTAAGGCCCATTTCCCGGAATCTTTTTTTGTGTAGAGGAAAGCAACGCAAAAGCCATTGCACTGTTGTATTGCCTTATGTTTTTTATGAAGGTTGAATCATGTAAAAACAGTTCTTTTAGTTCGTCATTTACTTGTGGTTGTGGCATGTCCATTGTCGCAACATGCGTTGAAATGTCCATTTGTGGCCTCCTCTGCGAAGTGAAATGCGCCACAATGCATGCAAGTGCTTTAAGAGGACCTAGATTGTAGGAAACAACACTCAACTCATTTTCCAGCGTTCTTCTAAAGACAGGTTGTAAAACAGCTTCTTGATTTCTTTCACAGTTAGGCCCTACATGACGTTTTCTTTTGCATTTCTTAAGTCTGTTGAATTCCTGGACACTCTTCCACGTCTTGCAGGTCTTCCCCTACCCTGTCTAGTTACGTCACTCATTATAAGAACGGAAGACAAAAAATTAAACACAATTCATTTTGAAACATTATTTACCAACATTGACTTTCGGAATAAATGTAAACATTGCAAATCAATAAGTAACAGCTGATAGAATGCAGACGTTTTTCAGTCCCCATGCATTTCTTATGGTGGATATTTTACGTCATATCTCGTTTTCTGGTAACTTTATGGGAATTCTGCTATTTTTCCCGAGTCCCTGGGGTCAATACCTTTAATTTAAGACCCCTCCCACTTTTCTGCGACTTACCAGACGTCCACAATTTTCTGGTAAAAATTTGGTCTTACAGAATTTTATATATAGATGCCACTGTATACAATATTTAAAATGAATAATTATTCTTGGAACTTTTGCAGTGATTATGATATAAATCCACTTGAGCAACTCCTGAATGTTTCTAAAGCTCTTAGTTCTCTTTTGTATTGCATAAAAAAGACATATTTAAAACTGTGCATCTTTGTGTTAACCCCTGGACATTTATCAGCTTCTTCTGAGCAATCCGGTAAGGAAATTTGAGTGTACTGTAGCTGATTCTAGGAGTAGCCTTGCCTATTCTGTGTATAAATATTTTCCCCGGGAATTTACTTCAAGTCGCTTTTACTAAAAAATAGGATCACTTGAAAGAGCAAAAGGTATTTTCAATCTTTTATTTCAATAAAAATGTGATCCAGAGGCTAAGAATATTTTCTCCTAGCCTAGCCTGAAGTAATACGTAAAATGGCTCCAGGCTAGATACTAGTATGTGAAGATAGGACATAAATCTAAATAAAAAAGGGTGACTGACCTCTGATCTACAGAGAGAAGAACTTAAGGAAGGCGTGTGGAGGGATCGGCACATGCAGTGAGCTCTTGTCCACGTCCTCCAGCTTCTCTTGGAACGTTGGGTCAGAGTCTGCGATGCAAGGATGTCCGATAGACTTCCAGAAGAGACAGCGACAGTTGCGACACAGCTGAATCATCTCGGCGTACTCCTCTCGAAGACCAAACGACCTGCGATATCAGTCGGTTTACTAGAATGCTTCATCCATGATAATGAAATAACAAAACTTCCTTTGAAATCAGCTGTTAACACTTTTGACAGTTTATGCAATGAATACAAAACCTTTAAAAAGCAAAATACTTAGGGAGAAAAGTCAGACTAGAATTTTCAGTCAGAGCTTCGCGCAGCCGCCGCTAGGATTGCTCACACAGCCGCTGCGTTACTATCTTTCTCTCTCTCTCACTCAGTAGGCTGACTTGGTCGCGCGTTCGCGATAGTCTTATTAACTTAACTTCTTGGAAAAAAACCCTGATCTACCCGTTACCATGGATTGCATGGGTCTGTGTGGTCACTGGCAACAGTGAAGTTGCTATTACAGCATCAGACAAGCCAGTGATGACAGTAGTAGCGTGATCAATCTTGAACCAGCAACATCAGGCTTATCAGCACAAGAGGTTACCACGTTCTGAAATGCTTTTAGGATTGATAGTGGTGCTCATGATATCGGATGACATAAGTTTACTCACTTGCGCAGTTTGTGGTAGACCTGCTGCCAGTCGTGTGGAGGTTCCATCTGGTCTGTGATGAAGGCTATCTGTTGTGATGTGAAGTGGAACTGACACAGCTCTCGCCAGATACGTTGCTCATCACACAGGCGAGCCATCACACTGACGACATTACACAAGCTTTGTAGTACAGCTATTTACTTTATTGAAATGTTCCAAAACCTCAGAAAAGATTTTGTAGAGATAATTCAGCTCAAATCAAGCCCTGGCAAGGGAGTACCATCACGCTCTTGTGATTTTCAACAAAGACATGCCATCGTGCATTTTAGGGTGAAGAAGAATAATTAATGGTGTCAAATGAATATCATGAAAACTTTGTAACTTTTGTAACTTTTTTTGATAATTTAACCTAAATCACCTAAAAAGCACAATGGTCAAGGACTGGGTCTGGCTTCAGTTTAAAACCCATGAAATAGAGCTTAAAACTAAAAAAAGATCAACTTGTACTACTTAAAGCCTCAGAATAAAATTTACCCGCCTACGTTCAGAGTAGGCAGCCAAACTTCTCCGTAGTTTGAAACTAGAACAAAGTTCTTAATGATTCAGATAATGAATCCCTCTTAACTGAAGGGCTATCAACATGCGGTTGCAGGAAAGATTAAGCATTGACTAAGGAAACAAAAGCAGACAGCCAGCGGTCGTTGCGCCGTGAGTTAGTTCATGATGCGGATATCAGGCAGCGCCACTGTCGATGATGCGAACGATCTTCTTTACCGACGCGAGTACGAGGACCAGTGTTCTACTACTAAATTACTTACGTTTTTAGAATGAAATATACATATTTATAATCTGCAAACGCTACAAAACACGACAGTCTAAAAATCAATGAAATTAATTCTAGTGAATTCATGAGTACATAGACGTAAATGACGCTGCAAGCGTATAATTCAATTTTATACTAAGGATAGAACAAAATTATTATTTCAATAAAATGTAGATAAAAGCTACTTTAATACCCTAAAACAAAAAATATTTTCTATTTACTGGGATAAAATGTCTAATTCCATTTAGTACAAAGCAAGCATGCAGTCCTAGCAATGTAAAATTACGGTTTTAATCATTAAAGTTTGCAATTGTGACTGTTGTTGTGTTGGTAATTAGGCCTAAAGCTTTGTTTAAAAATTCAACACGGTACATTTTAATTAACTCGTGAGTTTTTATTTATTTTCTCAATAAACACATGTTACTTACGAAACTATATGTTAGGTATTCCTTTGAACACAAAATACAAGAACTCTGTTGTAGAATACTGTTGAGTTTATTTTAATAATTTTAAATCAATATGTTTGTAGATAAATTACTCTGAATATGGGAAAGATATATATCTAATAATATTTGACAAAATAACAAAAAAATGTCACAGTTATACCTCTTAAAAGAATGTTGACCAATAATACAAATGTTTGAAGAAATTATTTATGATAAAACACGTTTTATCTTACCTGTGCACTTATTGCGCTGCTTAACTGAACACTTATTTTTCTAAATTATTAAAGTATAAAACAGGGTCGTTCAAGAAAATGATAAACCAAATTGCCTTTAAACATTTTTATTAAGTACTTTTATCCTTGTGAATTAGTAGGCCAATAAATGTAATGAATTTCCAATAAAATTAATTTATACGATTATACATGATTAGTTTTACTATTGCAATTAATATTAATATACTCAATGTATAATGGGACATTTAAGAACGCCAACTTAATTTCAAAGGATAGTATAAATAAGATTTCCATTATCAATCCTATTTGAAAGCAAATAAGTAATACACCATTATTAGATGTAAAGCGTACTAAATAAACAAAGTACTTACAACAAAATACTATTTACAACTGTGGCAGGCTACTTTTCAGATGCTTTTAATTTAAAACCGGTAAACCATCGTACAGTTTATATACATGACACATATAATTAACTATCCTTTTGCAAATCATGGATTTATCTGTGTAAAAAAGGAACGAAAATTATTTGCATGAAAATGTGTACCCTTAAATCAAACATGATGAAATAATTATGTTGTAGGCTACATATAAATAACATACGGTTGAAAATTATTTGCATGAAAATGTGTACCCTTAAATCAAACATGATGAAATAATTATGTTGTAGGCTACATATAAATAACATACGGTTGAAAATTATTTGCATGAAAATGTGTACCCCGGTTTTTATGCTACATTTTATGACATAAAAACAAAAAATTCAGTATAGTGAAAACTGCATCAAAACAGTAAGTATTTTTATGAAATGAAATCTTTTTTACCTATTTATTAAATATTAAAATAATTATACATGGGCTACATTACAGAAAAGTTTCTAAATGAGCTTTTTAGCATTCTACAGGAGTCAGAAACGATTTAAGGTCACCTAAAAATGGTATTGCACTTCTAGTTTTAATTCATGTTTCAATCTGGATGTGACAAATATTACATATACGTAGATTTACGTGAACGTGACCACAGACAAGGGAATAAAATACGTTAAAAAGGTAACTTTACAACTTAACTTACTTTACACATTAACGGTGGTGACTTAATTTACAATAAAATACAATATACAAAACTTATTCCATGTTTAAACCTTGTCTGCACGTTTGTTTGCTAGATGTCCATATGTACAATACAAAACACAGATAAACAAAATTACAATGCCGTGACAGTTGGAAGTTGTTAATGATATGTATTTAGGCAATAAACAATGAAAATTAAAGATATTCAATCAAACTAGTACAAGTTGAGCATGGAAAAAAACCCCAAAAAAGCCGAATGCTTTTTGTTTTTAGACCTATTGATGTTTCAATATTTTAAGTTTTCCTGTAGACACTTCTTTCAGATTACTGGATGTCCACTTACACTGCTTGTGAATCAAAACTTTGAATAACAAATTTAACACATATTTTGATTGTTTACAACATTTTATACATACTATAGAATCACAACTTACAACCTTCTCAGTTACTCGCATGAGTCTGCGTAGTATTTTCTTTTTGTGAGCAATCTTTGGATACAGTTTTTTGTAAACCTTGAAAGCAGCAGAAGTAACATACAATAACGCTTCCGAAGGAAAGTTAAGTCCACTTGCTGGGTCGATTTTGACGTTTGAATATGCTCTATTTAGTATTAGCAGTTCTTTTCGATCCGTAAGAGAAGACTGGGGATCACACATTAATTTACAACAGTCTTTACACTTAAATTTCTTTAGATAACTATGTGCCAAGTATCCAGAGAAATAAACTTGAGAACAGTCCTCCAGTGTAATGCTGCACGTTGACACCGTCGCTTGCAAGCCTTCGTCATTAGATGAAATTGTCGATGTTTGTGAAGATGATTCTGCTTTCTCCAAGGGGTTTGGATGAATATTCTGGTTAGGTATTTCTGTTACTTCCAGAAGTTCATCTACGTCTGGATCGTAGGACGTCGTGGTTGGAGGTTCAATCAGCTGTTGAACCGTTAGTATCTTCAGTGTGGCCCTCAAAACTCTCACTGTTGGGTTTCTATTAAAACCTCCTCGCTGCCTGACTGATGAAAAAAGATTTTCTAGAGGGTCCTGATTGAGCCTAGATGTCATAATATATTTGCATTGCTCATTCTGAATAAGTCCAAGGAATGCCCGAATGGTGATGATGAATCCGTCAAAGCATGGTGGTCTAGGGTATTTGGCATTTAATTTCTTGAGTGTTCAAAATATGTCTAGAGAGTCATGAAAAAGGTTTAAAATGTGATTGTTGGTTTTGCTTAGTGCACACTTGTCTGGATTTTTTGAAAAACGTGTTCGACTGTTCATACTATCAAAAATTGAATTTATTTTGCTCACAAAATTTGCAGTGTTTGTAGCGGTTTCCGTTTGTAGATGTCCAGTTGATACGGCGGTTTTCAAAGCTGCAGATGTAGTGTGGCTAAATACTTGTGCAGCTAGAGAAACTGACATCTTTTGAAAACTATTTGGCCAAATATGTGATGGTGTCAATTGATGAGCTGCTCTGGTTGTTTCACTTTTTATCTCTATTTCATATAACTTCCTGATGTCAGAAAACGAAACTATTTTATCATTACATAAGAAATCATGTGTCAACAAATTGTTCCTCAATGATTTCAGCAAGTGGGGAGGATCGAACAAAGCAAATATCTGTTCTCCCCTCTCTGAAAAGAAATACGGGGTTTCAACGGTCACACCTAGTTCCCTCAATCCTTTGGAGTTTGTAGTTGATTGGTCACAAACTACAGCCTTTACCGTAAGACCTACGTCGTTCAGGTTCTCTATGCAGGACTGTAATGTCAACTTTATTTTTTGACCACTCATCCCTTTCTCCGTAACAAAGTAGCCAACCGGAAGTTTCCATTGGTAGAAGAGCCCACGGACCATGAAGACAGTAGCATATTTCGCAATCCTACTACTTCTTCCAAGACTCCCCATGTCTTCAAACCCCTCAATCAAGTCATATTTTGAAGAATATTCCAAACATTGCTTGATTGACATGTCATCAAATAGAACGACGCAAGCTTTCTCCATCTGTGTCATGCTTTCTACCTTTATTTTAATTTGATTCATAAGTTGTTTGTTAAAACCTGGAGTGTAGCATTCTTTTGAAGAGATCCAAAGCTTGACAGTAGACAGACCTGGCAATACAAATAGTTTACGGAGATATCTATACATGGATGGGGATCTTAAGTATAAGGTGGTAGCCAGAGTTTTTTCGTTTTTTTTCCACGGTTGTCTAATTTTGTGGCTCTGCATGCCAAATAACACCGCTGCTTCTTGGCTTTTGAAACGCATGTCTTCTAAAGCTGTTTTTTTGGAATTGTTTACTTTCAGTAATTTTCTTTTTAGTCGTGAAATCTCTGCTCGTTTTAAAGCTAAAAGCCTGCTCTGGTTTTGATTTTTTATCTCGACCTTGTTTGATGTTTTAAACAGAGCTCGCTTTGCAGTTTTTGATTTCATCATTGGGGAAGCTTTCTCAATCCAGCTCCGGACCGAAGGTGACATTTCTTCTATTACAAAATGTGAAGATGAAGTGCTGACTGATGGGGAAGGCTGCGGCGATGGCTTCGTGATGCAGTAACGCTTCGGAGATATTCCACTGCTCTGAACACGAGGGGATGGACTATCGACGAATTGTTGACTGGTAGATGGGCCGGCTTCGTAGTCAGGTGGAATGAATGGGAGAGGCAATGCTCCTTTCATCAAGCGTCCACTTGGCAGGATATCTTGGGGCCTGAAGTGCCGCTCACATAAGCCCTTCTTGCGAAGCGAAGATGGAGAAAGGCCGATTAAATCTGGATTCCCTGGAAAAAAAAATGGAAAATGCACACAATTGAACAAATATAGTTTTCATCACTCCTTAACGAAAGTAACTATTTTCGATAACAGCTGATATCAATGAAAGTAGTCGTTTCTCAAGCTCTAATTTAGGGCGAGGGAAAATCGATCAGCTGATTTTCCCTCGCTCTAAATTTACTTTCCCTCGCTCTTGATTAGTTCTCCATTTATTCACTACGCGCGCCAGTGTTTTGTTACGGTTTAATTTAATGATTTTAATCAGCTGTATGTATTTTTAAAAGTTGTGTTATTCTTTTATTTTGATGTTTAAACCAAATTTATTGAGAAATATAGAAATAATAACTACGGTACTGCACCACATCAAGTGAATGTTTTTTTGAGAAAACCATAGGGAGTTTTTAAAGCTTTACGTTATTAACATACATGTTACATGTTTTGTGGCCTGTGTATTTATATATTTGCCAACGGATTAACACAAATAATACAGGTTGATTACATGGACAGTTTGAATTGTTCTTAAGTACTATAGTTATTTTCATAAATGTAAACGTTGGTTTATGGTACTGCTACTTTTCCTTAGAACCGGTGGTAGCAGTAAGAATCATTTTTACGTACAAACACATCACTATTTACAACTATAGTTATTGTTAGTGCTGCACCTTATTTCTTGTTAAATTTAATTGATGTCTTACTGTATATTTTTTTGCGTTTTCTGTCTGGACTCCAAAATGTTAGTTTATCCTATTAAAATGATCAAACATTAGTGAATGATTTTTTTAGGAAACCAACATGATTTTTTAAAGCTTTGCGTTGTTAACGTATAAATGTTTTTTAGACTGTGTATTTATTTACTTATTTATATATTTGCCAAAGGATTTACACAAATTTTACAGTTTGAAAAATCGATTATCATAAAATTTGATGACAATATCAAAACTTTCAAATAATTATTTTGTTTGTAGACTGCTTTGCTTTGGTTAAAGCGTAGCAAATCCCTTAATTCAATTCTGTATTTGTGTGTGTATGTTTGTTGGTAACGCATTAATGTCATTAATTCTCAGTGTTTCGTGGAAAAGACAAGATCACCTTTGTTAATGAAAATTTTAACCCGAACAAAGTGTGCAGTTGTGCGGTTGACGTGGTATTTTCACTGTGAAAGGTAACTTTCAATTACACGCCTACCTTAGGGCTATGCCTCATATATCTATAAAGCAAGTCCTTTTATCATTAGATATAAAATATGGACTAACACGATCGGGTGACATTTAATTGCGAAGCATTCGTTTTGGCTTTGAAACGGTCAGATATTGTATTTGCGAAGGTTTATATGCATTCCTATACAGTAGTAGTTTTGGCAGCATATCTGGAAAAATGCACACTAAATATGCAAACCAACTCCTGTTCTACTACAAGATTCCCGTACGTAGAATGGGCAAATAAATTAACATAGGCCTTATGGGTTTCCACGTTGGTGACGAAATATCAACAGAATATAAACAGAAAATCAAAATGTTCATCTTATTAACCTTTTTAACTGAATTTATTTAGAAACTTTTAACAGTTAAAAATGTTAACAGCTTATTGAAGTATGACTTGATTTAAGTAAAAGGTTTAAAGAGCGTAGAAGGAGTATTAGCATTGTAGTATTGGAAAAATGGTCATGTGTTCGTAAAAAACGAATTTATCTGTTTATCATATAGAAGTAAGATCTATTACCGAAATGTACATAAAATGCGATAAATTTAGGTTCCATGTTATTATAATTATAAATTCAACAGTTTTAACGAACACTCTTTGATCTTTACCGACTTCTTATTTGAAGCAAAATTTGTGTTGTAAACATCGAAAAACTGCTTCCAAATACACACTAGATGAATAGCAAGATAGCGAGAATATTTTTTTCTTTTCTGTACAGTATCATAGACTAAGGAAATAAAAGTCTTTCGTTTAGTTTCCTTAGTCTACGACAGTAGCCTCGCCCTGCTGTCAGGAATGGGGTTACAATGCAGTGCCAGCTGTAGATACCGTTAGGTCGGTTTATGGTCTTACTGTTTCGCCCTGAGCCCTGAGCCTGCGTTAGGGAGGTTTCACTTTGTCTCTCTTGTCTTGGCTACAGAAAGCAATGAAGTTTAGAGAAATTTTCCTTTAGTGAATTAGAAGTTGGCAAATTCAACAATGTAGATGGGATGAGTATTTTCAGATAATGTTTCTTATGTACAGTCATTAACAAGCATCCATAAAAAACGTATTCTCACTAAAAGTTCCGAAACACAACCTTTATTGACTGAGCTATAGCCTGATTATTTTTTTTACTCAGCCGTTAACAATTTACTAAAATTACACTCTTTACTACCCTCCCCGTAGTAGCAAACTTAAAAATCTAATGTTATATAAATAAGAAATAAATATGCTATTTTTAACGAAATAATGAAGTGGAAATACAATCAAGTAATAGTAACATTACTTTTCGCTATATTACAGAATAATTAGTTTCTTAATAAAAACAGGGAGAGCAATAATCATTTTTAGTCTCTAGGGAGTAGAAATCAGCTGTTGTAAACAGTACTAAATTTCAATTGTGGCAATCGTATCGATCAAAATTATGCATCGATTGATTAATTAGATAAGGTTTTAGCCAATTATTGTAGAACGTAGTGTCTTTAACATAAAAAAAACATAGAAAGTCAGCATGTGAACAAAAAATACAAAACTTGTATTTTTTCCTGTTTGAAGTAAACAAGTAAAACAGTTCCCTATTTCCTAGTATGCAAACCACTAAAACAAACAAAAGAAAAGCTCAATAGTGTAGCATATGGTTGGAAATCTTATGAAATGGAAATCTTTACAATGGGGGTTTTTACTGTTGATCCTCCTTCGTTTTCTATTATTCTTCCGATTTTGATGGAATTTGGTACAAACGTGTAAAACTACGTTTATTCGAACGATTTGGCATAATCAGACTATGGGGACGGGGGTTTATGGGGGGTTTATGGAGTACAAGTAGATTTTCCCATTTTCTACCCTGAATTCACAAAATGTCATAATTAATTTCTCTCAAAACCACACTAAATCATTTAGAATATTGAAGCATTGTTCTATGCACAACGGAGACATGTTCAGTTACGGAGATAATAAAAAAATTTAAATTAAAAATTTCCATGTTATTCTTATGGAGAATAAATACAATTTGGCCATTTTTTAATTAATCTAAAACACACCTCAATATATTCCCCGTAGTAGCAAACCTAAATGCTCACTAACATTAATGTTGTTTGGATAGGAAGTAAATCTGACAATTTTTAGGGAACATTTTTATAGTATATTTATACCAGCCGTAATATTTTCGTAAACATACCAGCCACAGTCTGCTTAGTCTGCAGTTTTGCTGCACATACACATTCAAACATCTCTAAGCGTCTCTTAGAAATAGTTTAGAACATACTTTTAATCTAAGCAACTCTTATGTAAATTTAAAATATTACAAAATTTATAATTAAAATGTAAGTAATAAAAATTATATAAATTTACTTACCAGAGTTCCGGACCCAAATGTCTGTGTTGTGATGAGGGATGGAGAACATTCTTAGCCCCCTCACTTTGGCTCTGATGTTTGTACATTTTGCGTAGGCGCACAAATTACCGGACATGTTAAAAATAAAAATACTACTAATTTACATATTAAATTACAATATAAAAATTTACTATAAAACTAAAAAATACTACTAAATATTAACAGTACAATAGATTGTTACAAATCCGTCAACGAAGGGAGCCGCCGCGGTAGGTGAATACACGTGATCGTGATACGTAAAGCCACGCGAGTGTTGGCGAAGCGCGTGCGTACGGTAAGTCACTTCCTTTGCGTCGCGAAGGTCGGTAACGTAGAGATGAGTCAATAGCGGAGCGTGGCAGACGACACGCGCCTGCACTCTGGTGAGCTATTGGAGAATGACCGTTGGCTGTCTGCTTTGTTTCCCTTGTCTGTGGATTAAGTATCCTCTCTGAAGAACACAGTAAAAGAGCTAAGAAAAAAACCTGTAGATTACCTGTAGGCCTTCCCACTGGCTTCTAGGTCTTTATGATCCGTCAGTCGCAACATAACCTCTCTCACACACTCTTCTGGCAGGTTTTGTAACTTTGGGAACACTTCGTCTCCTGGCTGAAATTTCAGAACAAAAGTTTATAAACAAATCAAAATACTGTCTGGTTTAATATAGATTTTTGCAGAAAGCTAGGTCTCACTTAAAAAGTCAGAATAATGTTTTCAAAATTTCACATAATTTGTCAAGAAACATTAAAAAACTTAATGCCTTATTTTGGTATCTCATTGAGGTGTACCAAATATAAACCTTGACAGTTACAATATCAACAAAGAGCCTTGGACAAGTCAGTGTCATACTCAATAGCCAGATAATATGCAAATTCATGGCTCAGTTGGTAACATGAAGGCCTACAAAATAAAGGCAGTAATGTAGTGTGTTTTCGTCTTAACACTACCAGTATAATTTTAAAAATCAATCCATTATTGGACTTAACCATCTTGCTTTCCTTACAATTCAGGCACAGGCCTTTGGTTCTCATGTGATTGGCAAAAAGAAGGTTAAAAGAGGTCAAAAATATATTATTTTTTATCATTCTTCACGACTTCAGACTTTATCTTCATCTAAAATATTATAAATAGGTAAAAGCATAAGTTTTTATTAAAATTTTTAAAATCACATGTTAAAAAAAATATTATAATAATTTAAATGAAAAATATATAAGTTACTACAAAAATATTCTCTTATAATAAAACAATTTAACCAAAGTAGCCTATGACCAAATTTCATCAACTATCCAATGACAACAGTCAATATTCTCTTATCTTGACACCTACATCTCAAATGGGATGCTTTCTGCGCATCAGATGTAAAATTTATTTACACACTTAAAGGTTATCAGAGCAGACTGTAAATATAAACACTAGCACACTTCTTCTTATCATGTCACCGATAAGAGTTATTTATGTAAAACAAAATTCAACATTAAAATGTACTTGTCAAAATTAGTATAAACTGATTATCAATTATGCTTACAAAATTCAATTCATGTACATTCAAAATTTAAATATGTATTTAAAAATTTAAATAATGAATAGCAGCATACAAATTAAAAAATTACATTGTTTAAGATTAAATAAATCGCAACAATAAGGAGTGTGAAAATTATTTTTTTTAAGTAAGCTACATACATTAAACTTACAATTTCTATTTCGTTAGATTTTCACAATTTCATTGCGATCGCGAGAGACGATAATGTTGTCCATGTTACCACGGAATATGTTCACGTTTTTGTCTTGATCACAGGAGACGTAGAATGTATCTCCGTGATTGGGAAAGATGTTCACTATTCCGCCGTGAACGTAGGAGATGTTTACCATTGTTCTGCCATCTCGGAAGACAACTACGATTACGTCAAAGACAAAATGGATTTTTCACCGTCCTTTGGACCGTTTGTAGTACAACAATTAATATTTTATTTAAATCAATGCTTAACAAAGCAACCCGATTTCAACTTGACCTGATTTTAGTACGAGACCCTAAGCTCAACATTTTTTACCTGACCCAAAGTAAGCAAATTCGGTATGCAGACCCCTATTAGTATTATTGGCAAATTATTTATTAGCTGGCCTCTGAGGTCTATTAGCCAATCGGATTATCGAAAACAAGGGGTTTAACAAATGGTGGAGTTCATACAGTTCAAGAAATACCAAAAACCTTTTAAGTTCCAGCCACCCAAGAATCAGCTTAGAGGGGCCTTTCTGGTGTAAGCCGACAAGGGCCACATCGATTCTAAATACAGCTCTGGTCGTGCACAAAAGTTTTTACCATTAAATATTCATGATGTCGCCACAATTGCTAAAGGTGACTGCGCACAGTTCTGGAATCAATATACTTAGAATCTAAAGCCCAAAAAAATTTAAGAAGGGCAATTCCATTATCCCTAAAAAGCTATTGAAAGCAAAGGTTACACAACTCCTGACCTAACCTATGTCTCACCTCTCGTATCTGTATGGTGTTGGCTATGGTCAGTATCCTGTTGATGGTGACCAGATGGTTCTCCCACAGTTGTGTAGATCCTAGGGGTCTTCCCCAACATGCACAGTCGATCATGCCTCGTAGTTGCCGCAGTAGTTTATTCAATAGATGAATGTTTTGTTGACTGGCAGACACTGTAAAATATTTATGGGTCGTATAAAATCTAGTAAGGTAATTGGGTAGAATTAGAATTTTATGCTTGGAAATTCCTTAAAGGTTCGGTTCTTCCATGCAGGGACCCAAGTGAACAAATAAGGTATTTGAATACACAATTCTCTGGGGTTTACCAAGGTAGAGTACTTGCAGAAAATAGAGGATTTCCTAAATTGTGTGATTTGACATGAGTCAAACTTGAGTTGGGATGTTGTAGCACATTTGACAGCTAAGAAGATCAATCAAATGCCCATCTTTCTACCACTGGACGATTTTGGATTAAACAACAAGCTAAAGTGAAGAAAACATGTTAGGCTTTTACTTGAATTTTAAGTTATTTTTCTTCAATTCACCACCACTCCTCTAGAATTCTTTGTGCATTTCTTGTTGCTTAGTGATAACTGGATGGAACATTTTGCCACTAGTCTGCCTAGATGCGCTTCCTAAGATATAAATTAGAAGTAATATAGTTTCTTGATTTTAGCAAAGCTCAAGGAGCTACACCCCTTAAGATATTCTTGCTTAACAGATGTTTGCTTGTCTATTGCAGGTGACCCGCGAGACGGCAAAGGCTCATACTAACCTGAATTTGACATCAATACATTCAAACATGGTTATCACAATGATGCACACATACAGGAGATATACACAAGACATTGAAGTACACAAACATTTTAAACAGGTTTGATTGACCAAATACTGGAAACTCCGGATTGTGAACTATTAGCAAAGTGAAGACGAAGATTTTACAATGAATGAGGTATCCTAAGCCTTGTATTTGTAGTCATCGTAAAACTATGTGGACTGACAATGGTACAAGGTAACAAATACCTAACCAATTTATTGTCTGTCTACATTAGTCACTCACCCTGGTAGGCGACTTCCTCCAACATGTTGAACAGCACCTTCTGTGCACAGCCTGACAACGCAGCCAGCTTCTGGGAGATGAGAAGGTCCAGCAGTTTACAGATGTAGTTAAATCTCCGCACGTCGTGCACAGCTGACCGGAAGTCCAACCTCTTGAAAGCGTCGCTCAGGCCGTTGAAACCAGCGATCTACACATTCAGATAGTAATTTTCATTTGGCCGCCAGAGCCGTTTGACATGTTAATGTATAGTATGGTTTCTGTTAACTAACTCACGCTTATAATGGTTTCTGCTTCCCCTAGGAAAATTTATAAATTTGAATGCCCACTGAAGAATCAACCAACTAAACCGCAAAGGCATGCAATAAGTAATTTTCAGTTATGTTTTGTATTTCGGGAGGGAGGATTTTTTCCTCCCCCCTGGTTTTGCCACTGGATAAACTTTTAATTAAATCAGGGTATGGTTAAAGATGGAAGAACATCAGTAAGATTAATTTACCTACTTTTATAAATTAATTAGTGGATAACTTTTTACTTTCCCAAACAGGTTCTACATAGCAATAATTATGTTATTTTTGAATGAAATATATATCAATCAAATCATCCTCATGTTAGTTTTACAAAGTCAGAATATTTTGTTAGTAAATTGAATTATCCTCAAGTACAGCCAGGATGAAGACAATTCAAATATTATCACTTTAGTTATGAAAAACATCTTCTACTTGCCTACCGACCTATAGAACCCCAATCCAACAGACATCCAAGTTTTAAAAAGGCTCGAACGTAAGTGATATTTTTTCTTAAGTTAAAAAATTAACTTTTAAAAGATCTCTTACCTCTTTTGTACACTTAATTGTTATGTGACAATGGGGCTGTACTGCTCCATCTGTGAACAAAAACCTAATTAAAGCCAAGACTCTAGATAAGATTCATACAACAATGGCATTGAGTAATTAATTTTCGTTGAATTTTATATAAAAGCAACCCGATTTCAACCTGACCTGATTTTAGTACGAGAACCTAAGCTCAAAATTAAGCAACAAACAAAAATAAGCCTGAGCAATAATTATATAAAAGAAAATAATATAAAAAATTTGGACGTAAAACTTCGCTTTTATTTTTGTGATAGAGTAAAATACATCCTTAACTGCATATCCTTAACTACATTTATCCTTAAGGAGGATTATGGAGGTGTAGACAAAGTTTATCAATATTTTAAAATGTAAACCAATTCATTGTTATTACTTTCAACAAAATAGCCACAATAAAGGAATTCCAATGAAAATAGTGAACTCATCAAAATAAGATATTGGTTGAGCTATAGATATGGTTTCTCTAAAGAACGTTTTGCAGGTATTTATTTAGTTTCCTTAAAAAAAAAATAATAATAAATAAGCACAATTGTTGTGAAATTTTCCAGGTTGTTTTTTTTTTTTTCTAAAAACTCCAAGTCATTGGATCCCAATTTAAAATTGTGAATAACACACTTAGATTAAACGCTACTTATAGGTACTCGATAAACCTATAAAATATATTAAACTTAAATGCTTCCAAATGGTGACAATCTGCAATCACTAGTGCCAAACCTCTGTACACCGATTCTCAACAAAACGGAGCTCAAAAGAGGCCAAGAACATAAATAATGAGGTGTAATTTAGCTCATTTCCCAGGAGCTATTACCAAATGAAGGGTAACATGAGGCAAGCTTGATATAGAACGACATTGCACAAAGTTACGCAAGTATGAGAGATTGAGGAACAATCGTTCTGAGTGGAACGGTTGTTCGTTAACCGTCTAATTAGTGTGAACTGAGAATCAGAGCATGTCCATGCACAGAGCATGTAATGGGAAGCATGCTCAGTGACCAATATGATGCTGGAGTGTTTTGGGCATTAAGAAACAAAAAAAAGTACGATAAGTGTAAACATGCTATAAAGAAAACAGTTTTCAGGATTTAATATAACAAAACCTAGCACACAGTTTTCTAGGGGCGGTAAAAAATGTGTCTATGCAGTGGCCAGCTCAATTAACTTTTTCTGTTAAATAAGATAGTAAAATTCATTTTGTCTCTTGAAAAGTCCTAAAATTTGTGTGTTAAAGTAGAACATTTTAATGTTTGGAAAACATTTTTGGTACTATATGGTGTTTAAATTTGTAGAAATTTCCTTTATGAAGGCAAATTAGTTTATGTCCAAGCAAAACAGATGGTTTTTTGTCAGCTGTTGTTGAGTCTCTATTATGTAATTGTAATACTTCCTTGGAAAATAAATCACTCTTTCATTTCATATATTCAAACTACATTCTAGACCAGAGTTTATTTATTATGTAAATATATATTTTAGTTAACCACAAAAATAATTGTGACTTTAAAAATCATAAACTCTAAATTATTTTTTCTCATAACATTACACATAACTTTTTTACTATTAATATCCCCTTCCATAAGAAAAAAAAACACCAAAAGTCCGAGGAAAATCTAAGTAGAGTTGCAATCAGGAAGAAAAAGAGTCATTACACTCAAGTCTTGTAGGGTAGACACATTCATAAGTAATTCAGAAAGATCTTCCTGGAATACAGCAAAGTCTTCCATCCCTACAGTTAACAACTTACATCCCTTAAAACCTACCTGTACAGAACATTTACAAAATAAGTTCATATTTTTTATACCTACTTCTTAGTTACCTATTGATTTTTATACTCCACAATAAGGACAGTAAAAACAGATAAATCTTTAATTTAATATTTAAGTTGTAAAATATCCTAAGATAAATTGGAAATTATTAACTAAAATTTGTATTGATCATGGCTGAATTCAAGTTATAAGTAGTTGTAGGCACTTTGGAGTCCCCCTCCATACTAAATACTAATAAGGGAGTTTCCAATACTAATGGCAGTATATTACAAAAAAAATTATGCTTATATATATCACAATTATTATACAGTAGAACCTTGATAACAAGACTCTCAAGGGGATTGTAAAATAAGACTTGTTACCAATGTTGACTTCTTATCGAGGTTTGTAATAACTGTGATTAGAGGTAAAATCATTTTAAGGGGATTTGAAAATGACACTTGTTATCAAGGGCAACTTGTTATCGAGGGTCTTCTTATCAAGGTTCCACTATATAAGTCAATTATATCACCTTAATAGAACATCCATTATTAAAAAACAAATTTTGAAAAATGTTACACCCCCATAACCCTTCTCATTTATATGACCCGATCTTGCTTGTTTGCAAACTTATTAAAATGTAACACTTTCATGCTAAATTTAATCAAAATTGGACAAAAATTCCTTGAGTTATCACGTTCACTGAAGATTTTTTACAAATGGTGTTTTAGACCTCTGGGGACATCAAAAATGAAAAGTCAATCCGTCCTGAGTCTAGGTCTTGCATTTAAGGTAATAGCTCTTCCCTATAGGGAAATTCCCTAACACAAAATTCCTATAAGTATGTTTATTGTTTACAGAAAACAATGGATTATCAAAAAGAAAATAATTTAGGCCTACAGTACTTCAGTTTACCATCAAAGAAACTCATCCAGTATATTCCAGCTAAAATAGTTTTAAAGTTGATTAAATGAAAAGAATTAAATTGCAAAAAATTGTTGCGTTCTACATAAACCAGACTTCCCATTTGATTTGTAACAAGCGAATCTATTAAGGGTGACAAATCTGCATAGAGTATATTTAATCCACGATGAAGGTGTCTAACAACTTTAAAAAAAGATGAAAAGTATTCAAATCTTTAATCCTTGACCTAATTTCCAACAAAGCCGCTTCCTATTTTATTGCAGGATAACGTGATTCTGTTTAACAATACCAAGTAAATTGAGGTATCGAATTAAGCAGTTATGCTAATCGCTAATCTGACGGAAGGTTGCCTGTGAATTGCCGCATCGTGATCCAAAGCATCACTTTCACCATTATCTAACCAATGGAACAGTCTATTCCTTACTCACTAACGATGGCATTGTGCCTTCCTGCTGCTGGCATTGCGATCTAATTAGTAAAATCTACTCGATTCTTTGTACAGTTCACTTTTACGTGGGCACAAGCTCGTGTTGAAATCATTGACTTTTAATATCGAAGTAGATCTACAGTACCTATATGGACTGTAGCAAATCTTTTTGTTAATACAGTAAACAACATGGTTGAATAAGCCTCTAGCTACAGCTAAACTGTTTATAAAACATTCTATTATATGCCTTAGTTTTTATTACTGTAACATAAGATTCTACAGTCTCTTATAAGTTATCAATTTTAACTTCTTCGAAGGGTGTGTATTATTCTATCAGCACACTTGCTTGATGGCTCATTTCAGCTACATTCATTTTCATTTCGTTTTGATCGTTCTTTGAAAATTAAATTCTTGATTTCTTTCCTTCACATGAATTAATAATAAAAAAACACAGTATTAACGTTGTTAAAACTATTTTTAATAGATTGTTTTAAGGGATTTCAAGATGTTAAATACTTCTTAGGTAATACTTTAATATTTTATTAAAGGAAAAAGATTACTCTATTTTAAAAGATAGTTAAAAAACTTGTTGTTTCTCATTTCAAGCATTAAAAGACATGTCTTAAGATGTATCTTAATAAATTTGTAAAATATTCATCACATTAACTTTTATTGAATAGTTAATCTATAGATTCAAACTCAATAACATGATGTAAATTTAATTTAGCCTACTGAAAAATAAAATTAACATGAAAACCATACCCAAAATTATATCAAAGAGGAACACATATAAGCATAACTGTGTGTGCAAATTTTTAGTCAGTATTCAGTTTATCCTTTTCCACAAAGATGTAAAAATATATGGCATGGAATCGAGTAATACAAAATATCATAAAATTATGCAGCATAAAAATATCAAACTGTCGACTAAAAAGTATCACTGAAATAAAAATAACTCACTCTTAGATTTAATTTTTATACAAATTTCTACGATTTTGAATTATATAAAAGTTTGTGCTACAATAATCAAGAATATATTTGTATCCAAATAAATTGTCATTTAAATTTTAACTAAATTTGATCCAAACTTTGACTAGATGTGGAGTAAATAGTTTTACACATTATAAATCTATGATGGTATAACACTTCTTGTTATTGTTATATTTACATTGTCCAGAAATTTTAACATCAGTTACAGTTTGAATACTCCAGGTCAACAGGAGGTATTTTGCTTCATATTCCCAACATGAGTGTCAGTAATCCCATCCTCGATTAATCCTTTCACTACCATCACGTCATGGCTTTACATCAACATTCATCTGGGTTTAAGGGTTGTTGTAGCATACATTTTAGTATAAGTAATGAATAAAAATATTGTAAGTTGTTGAGAAAATAAAGCTGAACTGTTTTATGTAAAATAATTTCTTTATTTTATAATATTCAGTAGCCCTACTATTGATTCAAATTACTGTAATAGCAAGGAAGAGTTTAAAACCTACATATTGACTACGGATAAAAAATAGAAATTCAATTCCCTTGGGGAAGTTGTAACTAGCTTTAGATAAAAATGAACGCAACATTATCTAACTACAAAATTTAAATGCAAAATTTTATTAGGCTTGTCTTTGTTCTAATATCTTTTTTTTTGTAAACACTAAACATCACAATTATATTTCTAAGTAATAAAATGTGTTAACTCTATTCACAAACTAAAAGTATTATGTACAACGTTTCTGAAACAATAAAAGGATCCTGCGGTTTAGATGAAAGAAACGTCAGAGATATTTACGTTGGCAGATGCAAATCATAATGACATTCAACTTAACAATCCACATGCATTTCCACACCTAGAAGTGACAAGTCATCACAATACAATCCCAATTGTCCCATATATATGTCTCTTAAAGTCAATCATTTATGAATTTTATGAGCGTTGCCTTCAATGGCTTTTGAAATAAAAAACTAAGTATTTTTAATCAACTTTAATTTGTGATTCAGTTAAAAGCTATTTTTTTATCTTAATAACAATTCTTAATCGCCTGTATGAGAAAATTCTTAAAGTGGATGAATATTTTGTGATTAATTTAATTTTTCTATTTCAAGGGTAGATTTTTACAGTGCACAAGTTATTTTTTCAGTTATAATATCAGTAAACGGATGAAAATTTAAACAAAGGAGTGTTTTATTGAGTTAAGATCTTATAAATTTGTGAAATGACAAATAAACTGTTTTCATTCATACAACAGGCAAAAACACATTTTCAAATTGTCTTGAGTTGATTTATGAGGATCAATCTAAAAGGGAATATTATAGAAAACAAAAGAATACAAAATAAGGAAGTAGACTGTTAAATGGTAAACAAAGGTGGTTTACCTGAGTTTTTCCTCTCTGTCACGTTTTCCATGACCTGCATGTTTTCCTTATCTTCATCTTCTTGCATCCTGAAGCAGAAAATTAACATGGTAAATATATTAATAAATAATCAACATATATAACAAAGATCTATTAACTTTAAATTGCTGTACTACAAGTAGTCAGTGGTTGCCTGATTTATTATAACTTGTCTATATCTATAAAAGAGGAACTATGTATGTGTGTGTGTATATATATATGTTTATACGTTATGGACTCCAAAACCGCTCGACAGATTGTAATGAAACTTTCAGGCATTATTAAGAATCTTTCAAGGATGGTTCGAGTGAAGTTTGGTGCAGATCTGTCGAAAAAGGGCTCTGCCCCAGAGGGTTTTAAGTGGGCCAATGTCAGACTTTTTGATCTACAATGATTTCAAATAAATATAATTTAAAAGCAGATGTTTACTTTCACTAACTGTTTTGTACGTTTGAATAATTACAACACTAGTGTACATGTTGCTTGAATTCGAGCAATTCCAAAGTATTACAGGAGTTATTTCAAAACGAATAACAGTCATATTTACAATGAGTTTAAAAGAGTCAACTCAAAGATCACCGGTGTGTAACTCAAACCATGTTTATCTTCGTTATTGATAAACCTAAAGCATTCCGGCCGGTTTTCTCCTTCTCAAAATGCCTCGCTGTACAGGCAACACAGGTCATTGATAGAGGGCCAATTGAGAACGAAAAGTCATTTTTGGGGTAGTGTTAGGGCGCATTTGTAACCTAATAGTTGAGATTGTCCAGGGTCAGGTGCTGACTAAGCCTACTACGCGCGTACGCGCCACCGTTCTGTAGCTGCGGTCGTTATCACGATTGCGCCTCCTGCCTATGTTTCGTTGTCGTCATGTCGGAGGCATAAAAGAAAAAAAAAAACAACAAATAAACAAATTATAGCTACACAAAACAACGATAAATGCAAAAACTACAATCATGCTAACACACAACGATAAATACACAAATTTAAGATACAACCATACTAACACTATCCATCTTGGGGGTTATGTTTACACAAACTCAAATAGTAAATAAATGTAAGCAATGCGTTTCATAGGATTGAAAAATAAATAACAGAAATTAAATTATACAGCTGATCAAAATGTAAACAATTATGTTCTTCATAAGGATAACATTATCAATTTAAGTCATCCTGAGTTTATTGTTTTGTTTGTATGCTGTAAAATGGAGATGTCCGTTGAAATAAATAAATAAATAAATAAATAAACATGGGAACTTTAACAGCCACTGGGGCAAAGCCTAAGGGACTTTTTCAAAAATGTAAGGCCAGTTTGCAAATCTACGCGACACGCTCTTTCCAATGAGACGTCAACGGATAAAATCGGTTACGAAATGGCGGAGGAGTTCAACCGACAAAGTTTCATGTAGCGTATTAATTATATAGATTCTGTATTAGCATTAGTAATGATTTGAAGTAGTGCCACAGTGTTTCTACAGAGTGCAGCACAGAAAACTATTTTACTTTTGAATAAGTCAAAATGTATTAAACCCCAATCACAGCACACCTGTGCACTTAACAACGTTTAAATTCTCCAATGTTAAATATTAAAACATAAAAACCTTTATCAAAGTATTATAAACAATAAAAGGGATGACTTTTTAAAATTTATGAAAACAGCTAATTTGCAACCAAAAGGTGAGTGAGCGTAGCGAACGAACATCAACCTGGAGGCGAGTTAGCGTAGCGAACGAGCTAACCTGAAAACAAGTGAGCACAGCGAACGAGCTCCAACCTAAAGGTGAGTGAGCGTAGCGAACGAACTTCAACCGGGACTTGATTGAGCCATGCGAATACTTATGAAGTTAAACGGGGCAAAGCCCGTGGGTACAGCTAGTGATTTTATATTGCTGATTATGATTAGGTAAAAGGGTTCAATCACTTAAATCTTTCAAACTTGACCATAAACATAAAATATATTGATGTCAAACATAACTTTTGTATCTAGGGGAGTTCAAAAATCTTTGAGGAGTTATGTCCAATCTATATTACGTTTATATTAACCAAGAAACAACTCGATGTTTTTAGATTAACATAACATTCAACAATGTTTGATTACAATGATTAGTTATTCTGTTAAATTTGTACCTTAAAACTTCATGAAACTTTATCAATAATAATCAATAATCAATCGTTGAGATGGGGACGCCACCTAGGTGCGTATTTTAACCCAAATATGAGTGAAGGATGAGTGTAGAATGGTGTGTGATGACCTGTGTAGCTTTGTTACTGACTAAGATCAGCGGTTTCATTAGTCAGGATCATTTATTTAAAGCCCAATGATCAGGAACAGCTGGGTCCAGTTTCGAACCATCAAAAAGCTACTGACTTTTCTCGGGATCGAACCGGCGACCATTTGATTAATAGGCGAGCACTATAACCACTCAGCTACCCAGCCATTTTTTTACATTTACAAAAATAATTATCGATAAATAACTAGAAAAATATTCAAGAGTCAAGTTTACAGTAAGTAGGTAAGGACAACACTTCCGACCACCTCTAAATGCACAGAAGTGCTGGGAGCAGGCTGGGAATAACAATGGAGAAGTGAGGAAACGACAATCTACAAGAGACAGGTCAATACACTTGAACAAAGAAGAATCATAAAACTAACTGTTTGGGTCAACTCTAGTGCTTATTGAGACTTGAAAATGCAAACTGTAGAAAGTTAGAACTAAAAGTCAAAGTTTCAAAGCAATTTTAATTTTTTTTTCAAAAAAATGTTTTTAATAATAAAATTTTGCATTTAAAGACTTATGTAAATAACATAACTATTACACCTTCAGTGAATTTGCCACTGATTTGCGCCCTTCACTAACTTGTGCCCTAGGATGACTGCTCTACTCGACCCTCTATCACTAATCACCATGCATTTAGGGTCACCGGAATTTTATCCCCCTGAGGAAAGCTGACCTAAAAATGACGAAGTAACCTAAACACTCTAAAGTTTGTTTGCGGGCGGAATTTTACCCACGCGGATTTGGGAGTCTAATAAAAGTAGACTGAGCGTAATAAATTAGAGTAGCATAAACATATTTTGATTCTACTCCTTGACTATTCTATTCCTTGATTTACTGATCTGAACTTGATTGGTTTCGTTGATACAAGTTAAAATTATTATGAAAATGAGTCAATAACTCCCCAAAATTTTAGTGTTCAATAATTTGTCAAAGTATTGACTTTTATTTTAGCTATGGATTGGGAGTTATTTAGAAATGGGGATATATGTCTTTAACTAAAGAAAAAATTCTAAATAAAAATAGTTTACCTAATGTTAAATTAAGGTGCATGACTCATTTTAAATTTGTCAGATTTTATTTTGTGATTAGTAATAAAATTAAAGCCAAACATTTACTGAGTTATTTTGAGACCAGAAAGAACTTAGTGACTATTAACAACCGGATATATAAATCTTTTAGTAGAAACTTATTTCTAAAAAATGTTAAATTTAGGCTAATATTGTGTTGGGGTTTGTAGCTCATCTCTTACTAGTCTGTTTTATATAAAATATAGCTCAAATGAAAGAACTTTCATCACTGAATATTTTAAGGCTGGAACGAACTGCAAGTGTTAATAAGAACTGGATATACAAGAGAAATAATTATAAAAAAATTTTAATGCACAAAACGTCCTTAAGAAATGTATGGGGGAGAGTTTTTGTTTGAATATACAGTATCTTTAAAACAAAAATATATATTAAAAAACGGATTTCAGCATTGAAATCAGAGTCAAAATATAGTTAAATTTTATTTATATCCAATATGGCGGATCTAAGACGGCTGCCAAAAACGCATTCCCAATTGAAATGTAGTACTAACCACCCAATAAATATCGGTGGTGGTCCCAAGTCAATTTCTCGAAAAATGTGCATAAAAATTCATGTGGTAACCTTTTTTCAAAATTTGTCCAATATTGGTAAAAGCCACAATTTCCAATCGTAATTTTAGGGGATTTCCCGTAGCCCGATTTTGCCTAACTTTTAGTATGTCCCCCTGCACAACACTATAAAATAAAAACATAAAAAGTTTTCTTTAAATTTGTTTAAGGTCATATTTCTCTTACTATAAGCACAGAAAATATACTAACTTCTGTGCTATAAGCCGGAAATTAGAAAACCTGTCAATCAAATATTTGTCATAACAAAACCAAGAGAATAGCTGCACAAGTGTGAAGCTGTCAGAAACAGCTGATCAGAGTTCAATGACCAGCTGGGTGTAGGTGGGGGAGAGAAGGTTGAGTCATGCAGCCAGCTTGTTTGTTGTCATGCAACTACAAAATATTCATTATCACTGTGCATGCATTATTCACAAACATTATGTAATTTCAAAATTGGCTTCGTTGATAAATAACACATAATAATTCCAGGTTGAAGCCCTGAATCGCATTAAAAAGACTCCGCTAGACAGCAGTTTAACAAATGTCTAATAGCTAAGTAAGGAATGTACACTGTAGAGTAAAGAGATAAACAAAACATAAACACATATTAAAATTACATTTAAAAAACTATCTACCGATAAAGGCAAACATTTACAAGACAAAGTGTTAACATAACAAATTGCACCATTACTTGGTGATGTTTATTTTATCTTATCACAGGGAAGATTTATTGTGACTAATTGATCTCATTATATAATACTGCTTATTGTTCTTCTAACTGTTTGTATCAATATATTTGTATCAATGCAGCAATAAAATTGACAGTATTTTTAAATATAGAATGATTTTGGATTGCTTGGTATTTAATTAATTTTAAAATAAATACAGTAAGTACCTATACAGAAGTTAGGTTTGCAGTAAAGACCGGAAAGAATTTTAAAAAGTATTTTATAACCTAGGTCTTGTAAGGAACCATTAATTGGGTGAGAAACTTATAATATATTTAAATACAAATTGTATCGTATTAGAAATTAAATTTAAATTTTAGACAGATAGGCAACCTAAACCTTGAAACTTAGTCATCGGAAAACAATGAGGATTGACGGTAAATAGTAACATAACCTATTATTGTATTATTTTGCATCAATTTATAAATTTTGGACTTGAAAGCAAGCACTTAACCTAAGAAATAATTGTAAATAAAATGTCAAAAATACATTTTATAAAAATGTTTAGTAATGGGTACTTCCTCATATGTAAAGATTAAAAACCTATAACAGTTCAGTGGCAATCAATTGGGCTAAATAAGCAGAAAATAAACCTCTCAGTCTCTCACTTTTCAAATGACACATTTCTTGAACAATTGAAGTGCATACTTAATTTTTCTATAAATACTTTATTAGTTTGTTTACAAATTTCCAAACATTGCAACAAAGCATGAAACTGTTTGCACACATCACAAAGCTCAAGGGATTATGAATGAACTCCGGACTCGAGAGATTTGTAAACAAGCTGTCCAGCTTCGACTAAATGTTCACTCTCCCTTTGAACAGAGACTCCATTACTAGCTTTAGTGCTCATAAATATTACAAACTTAGACACAAAGTTGTATATCAAAGAAACTTAAATGTCTGTTGGCAATGTATTTGATTTTTTGAACAAATTTGCAACTAGTTTTTGGTATTTATTATGTATACCCGCCCTTCGTGCCGGGTTGACGACATATCGTAACATACTTGTTGCCGTTATACCTGTGCTTTGCAACAGGGAGAGGACTCGCAATATGAAAATTTGGTTCTTCAACACCACCATTATACAATACTATAGTGCACCTGTTGCTTGAATCCGAGCAAATTTGCTAAATATTACAGGCGTTATATCAAAACTAATAACAGACATAATTCCCGATGACTTAAAAGAGTCAACTGAAAGATAATGTAATCAATCACTTCACTCCAGTTATCGAAACTGAAAACGAACTCACTCTGAAAACGAATGCTATTGTGTGTATCATATGTTTACTATGAACAGCTGTAATTAATACAAATTATTTGTCTGTTTAAGTAAACAAAAACTGTTCTTCATAAGAAATTCATTGACACATCTTTTGTAAAACTTCGTCCATTATTAACGGAGGAGTAGTGTTTTGTAGAAATCACCTTCACATAATATAAGGATTTATAAATAATTAAGATATGTAACTTACCATCTGTTATTGATGTCAAATGAGGTGACATCACTTGATCCATAACCGTAATTGCACCTGCAAAATAACAACAACGTTAGGCGAGAAAAACAATTTTTTTTTTTTTTTTTTTAACTTTATTTAATTTACAATCTGTTCAAGTTGAACAATAAGCAAATGATATCAATAGTAATACAAAAATAACTTGAAGAACATGAGCTAGTGATTGACCACCGTCAACACAAGCAAACAAAGAGAATTTTGATAACACTTAGCCGAATCTGAATGGTAGGTCCAATATCGTATGTCGCTTCAGTCTGTAGATGGTGTTAATGCAAAATGTTTAGTGCATGTTTAACTGAAAATATAAACAAATATTGCTTAAAGGAAAACTTTATTGAGTATTATCATAGATAAAACATACTCCCTTAGTAGATTTCTCATCCTTATGGAACAGCTGAAGACAATATTATTGTTAGTTCTGTACGGTTTTCTGCAGATGTCGTGTTTTGTTTACAATTTGTTTCCTGTTAAAACAGCCATTTAAAACCTCGTTTAACCAAATAATACGATCTAATCATAAACAATAACTTGTCCCCTAGTTATATAACCAAACAGTAAAGCACAAATCAAGAAATTAACCCTAAAGTAATAGAAACAAAGTTTCGTCGACACTAGCGCCCATGTGTCACGTACATAAACTAGACACAAAAAACGTGCTTCAAAATTTACAATGGGATGAGAAGTCTACTTTTGTTGGTTAGTCTATGGTATTATCTATCTATATACAGTATATAAAATCCAATGTATGTTTGTTTGTATGTTTGTCCTTTATGGATTCCGAAACCGCTCGACAGATTGTAATGAAACTTTCAGGCATTATTAAGTATTATTCAAGGATGGTTTGTGTGAAGTTTGGTGCAGATCCATCAAAAGGGCCCCACCCCAGTGGCTCTGGAGTTTCACATGTTAACCTTATGAGTACTCATATTTAAATGTAATTTAAGAATCTTAACAGCTGGTTCAACACATCAATTTGATTCTGTGATGTTCAATAGTATTAAAAAGTTAATAGGTTTACCAACAGGGTGCAGCACTACTGTATTATTTTTTAAAATTATGACAACAGCTAATTTGCAACCAAAAGGTGAGTGAGCGTAGCGAACGAACTTCAACGTGGAGGCGAGTTAGCGTAGCGAACGAGCTCCAACCTAAAGGTGAGTGAGCGTAGCGAACGAACTTAAACCAGGACGTGATTGAACCATGCGAACGAGCTCATCTTGAAAATGAACGAGCATTTGACATAAAACCACATTAGGACAGGACAACGTCTGTCGGGCCAGCTAGTTGATTTTATAAAGGCCAACATCATGTTTCGTTATTTCTAACGGTTAAACATTTTTGGTTAAGTATTTTATCTTAATTTTAATATTGTGATTTGTTTCTGATAATTTTTAACAATAGTTTTGTTTTATACTTTTGTTTTATCTTTTTTTTGAGTTTATAATGCAGCCTTCAGTGCATTATTGATATCAACAGCTATTTTTTAGGTTAATTTATCATGTGGTTCTTAGTAGAGGAAGTTCCCTAATACAGAGTAATAATTTTGTCCTATATTAAAAGGGATAAGGTCTTAAATGGTTTTGAAAATATTTTATCGATCATAAAGAGTTTATTGATTATTTAAATGGTAGGGGTTGGTGAGATCTAGGGAAATTTCTGAGGGAAGTATGGTTTTATAGATGGGGTATGGTTTAAGATTTCAGAATTCAATTTTCTTAGATAATATTTTGTTTAGGGGTTTTCTTGTGGGATAAAGCCTATGTAGTACTGAGCAGTAGTGTAGCCATACGGAACAAATAAGGATTTTTGAAAGTATTCCTTCACTGATTTTAACATTAAAATTAACTAGATCCTAACTTATGCCAACCAAGAGGTCAACAAGACCATTGCTGCATGTGACCACCCAGCTACCATAGTAAAATTATATTTTATAGTTTACTGTATAAATTGTATAAATTAAGTAGTGTAGTTAATCCAACAAAAGCACTTATCCATTTCATCCCATTATTCTATATTTAAAACACAATATATTGCACACATTTCAATATCAAATTAGTTCCAGTAAATTGTATACAAATAACGTAAGGAAATACACATTCTTGCTTGAATCTGTTTTGCTAAGGTAAAGTCATGCTTTACTGACATTCAATTTAGGGGTGGGGGGTGGTTACCCTCCCCATTGCCAGTGACCTACTTAGGTTTCCATGGCAACCACTGTAGGTCATACACATGCCAGCTGACTATTGTTGATACAACTTGAAATTCACCCTGGCACTCAAAAAAGTTTTATTAGGTTAGGCCCTCCCAACTTGTAAGATAGGGTTCTTAAAATGTATTTCTTTTTCTTTTAGAGTTATACTTGTGGTTGATGGATAATATAAAGAAAAATAAATTCTTACATCTTCAATTTGCTGTCAAAGTTAAACTTAGTAAAAAAATAATAATACAGTATTATTATCTACTTTGTGGGTATCTAGAAAAGATGAAGAAGTTCAATGCCAACATTGATCAACTTTGTAATCTAGAATTTCTAAAATGCCCTTAAATATGAATATGTAGCCTAGAGGAAATCCTGAACATTACATTTTGTTAAGTTATGCGTTTTAAGTATAATTGTTATAGGTATATAAACTAAGAAAGAATTTGGAGGAACGTGTTTAGTTGAAGAGTGGCTACCAGACGCCCTAAACAAAATAAAAAGCAATTTTCACAAACCTAGGCATCACCACATAGCCTACAGCAACAATTCCCTGATGAGAAATTTGAAACTTTTTAAGTAAATACAAAATAGATTTACAAAAATAGTATGCAAAACACGTACGAGATTAGATGATGAACAGAGAATAGAGAAATCGGGACCTTGGATTAAATATGCCAGAGGTCTGTTCGCCAAGGCATAAAATCGAAAGAGATCCATCGAACTCGACTTATTACTATCCAGGGCCCAATCTGACAACCCACACAGAGTATAAACTGGTTTTAAGCGCCAGTGAACCTATAATCAATGCAAAGTCAAACTGAATACGAAAGAGACAAGTATAAACAGTCTAACTGTTAGAGGCACCAAGATAAAAGAAAATTACACAAAGATTCAGACAACATATACTATATTGTCAAAAGTTATTGTACTTCATAGAAGTTAGTCTAACTTGATAGTTTTATCTTTATCCAACCAGTTTTGAAATTCAGCAAAAAATTACGAAAACAGTACCCTAACTAAGATAAATAAATTCTAGACCCAAATACTCTCATACAGTGGATATAAATATTTCTAATAATTACTATTCTTACTATAATAATTGCATTTATATTCACCCAATAAGATTGAACATGAGAGCTTTGTTTAGCCATGGTACCAATCAATCTATTACTTGTGACATTTTTAACATTGTCCTAATCCATATATTAATACCATTAAATAATAAACCGGCTAGCTATCTAAGAAAGAAACTTATAAAAGGTGGTTCAATTTAAAAATTCTGTCAATAAGCACTAAAAAAATAAGTTATTTTTGCCATAGTTTGATAGTTTATACTAGTTTCTATTAAGAATATGAACAGTTTTTTTAAAGGGTCAATATTTAATCAATAGGTATTGAAATTACTCAAATTAACAATTAACTGGTTACAGGAAGACCAGTTTCTTAAAGGTTTGATGAATGAACAGATGTAAATAACGCTAATTTATTACAATTCATATTTAATCAGACATTTTTATTAAAATTTGTTTTTATTACACACCAAGTTAGCCAACCAAAAACTAGGTGTCCTCGCTTGATAGATAAGGTAATGGATTAGACTGCATTTACTAATGCATCCTTCAGAGCTGATGCAAATCCATCCTATACGTTGTTAGAGAAATCCCTACTTTATGCTTCTCTTTCAATATGCCTCACTATATTAACCATCTTAACTCACAATACAGTTTTATTAACAAAGACCCTCAAATATCTATTGGTTTTACTGACAAGTTCCCACCTTTCTCAACTTCCTTGATTAGCAAAATCCAACTCTTGTCTTTAAAGTAGGATTCACATAAGCCTACAGTAATTTGACCAACCAATCCAACAGTTGTTATGCAAAATATTTTTATTCCATATTTTTGCTGATACATAACCATCTATTACTCCTCACCTGCTAAACAAAGATATGATTTTACTTAATGTGCATATTTTAATCAAACATTTTACAGACTAATGCTAGTTGTTTTTATTTTTTACTTTGTGTACTGGTTTTTCTCAATTTGGTGAAAACTCAAAGTTTTGATAAAGCTTAAAAATTTTCCCTCCAAATCCCTCCAAAATATAAGCCACATCTCAATGACGGCCAAACTAAACTTTACCTCAAAACTAATTCATTAACTCCCATATGTTTATTATCAGTCAAGGATTTTACCTTGTGCAGTTTTCCCGAATTAAAAAAAAACCCAAGTCAGAGCTCCTTTAGAAGTTCTTCTGTCATACAAATAAATTTAATAAAACATGTAACTTCTCCAAAACAAAGGCACAAAAATCTCCTACACTGCTAGACCTAGATCCCCATTCCCCGGACCGCCTCCGCAAGCCGTGGTCGTAGGGAAAGCTTGAAAGCTACCCGGTCTGCTAGGCCCGTTAGCATGTAGCCTATAAGCTCCAGATGAGTCACCCAGCTGTAGATGTGAAGGTAAGGCTACATGGTACAGCCACAGCCCGCGCCGCCCGCCACGACCTTGGCTCGTGCTTACTTCTTCCCGTCCATACTGTACTTTCGCGTGCAGTTGGCAACAACAGACTTCTGGATACTGAAGTAGATCGAGTATGGACTCGCTGTAGCCAATTTTCACTTGAAATAAATACACCACTCACAGAGTGCGATGTTGTCAAAATCTCGGCAAGTCTCCAGTACAATGCTATGATTGATGTGAGATGATAGCTTACAATAAGTTGCCCTTACGGTTTTCCAAGGTTAAAAAGATGTATTTGACAAGAATCGGAAATTGAATTGTTTGAAGATGGTTTGCTGCTGTCCGAAACTTCA